TGTTACAAAAGCTAGATTTGTAGTTGTTGCTATTTAAAACTGCCTACATTGTGGCGATTTTTCTACTTACGTGCAGTATATACAACGACATACTCGTACGTATTTATATGTATGTATGTATGTATGTGGAAAACATCGCACTATCACGAAATTGTTTTTACTTGGTGTTGTCAAGGTAAACTAGAGATTGAGTGTAGGATAGATTTTCTCTTATTTTAATAATTTAACTTCTAATGAATGCACATACATACACACGCTCATTTATGTACGTATATATATGTTTATAGATGACTTTTGCGTGGATTAGAATAGTTAATTCAAAATGCATACAAATTACAAGATGCATCTTCTTGAAGCAAGTGTAAACCAAGCCACTTCATGTTTGTTTACTGGCGGCAAAGGTCAGGCATCAGCTCAACAAATGCTGAAGACTACTCACATCACATTAACCGCAGAAGTCTCTTAATATTATATGTATATTACACTGTATACACCTGAGATACAAATTGAAAATTATCTGCTGGTATTTAGCAACGAGAAATAACCCTGCTGGGAAAAAAAAAACTAGTTGTTAACTGAAATTCAACTACTTGGCAGCCGAAGTCTTACGAACTGTCAATTTTCCGACTATGCGACAGTTTTAGCATGTTGAATTTCTTATTTAATAAAAATTAGTTTGCCTGCAGCGAGAATCGAACCGTGAACCTCACGCTCTACAGTGGTAACATCTATACAGTCGGCTGTTGCTTTTTTCTTCACAGATATGATTTCATCTCCAAAATATAACTATTCAATTATAATTTTTGAAGTAGTCTACGTTCTCCCTGCAGGGAAGTTACAGACGAGGTGATGGATGAATTTACAGACGAGGTGATGGATGGGTTTTAATGTATGGTTTCTCACTGGTATCTTAGATAATAATCTATCGGTTTTGTTATTTTCAAAAAAAAAAAGAAAAAAAAACCATTTCGTGTCACTGCTCCATACCACCAGATTTGCAGAACATCCAGAGGTAAAGTTTACATTAATGGAAACTGAAGTTTGGCGCTTTGTAAACGCTGAGGCGATTTTCGGTCGAGCTCCTCCTCCAATTTGTGGTTTCGCATCTTAATGTCTTTCCAATAATAGGGGATCTACAGTTCATTTCAATATTGGGAAAATTAAAGATGAACATTGAAGACTCTTTCTGAAGAGTCCCGAAGTTTGGTGGAATTTGGGTTGTAAATAAAATATTTTTGTACAATAGTAATTTATTTTGAAGAAATATCGGTGATCTCGGACATGAGAGTAGCAAATAAAGTTCTTTAGTTTTTATATTTAATTGTTTAGTTTTGTCCAAATCAATGCCGAGATATTTAACGCTAGCATTTTAAGGAATAATATTACCAATTGAAAACAAAAGGGGACTGTCATTTCGCCTTAATTTACTTCCTTAATTAATCTCATTTTACAGCAGTCTAGCCAAGTCTGTATCTTATATAACTCTTCTTGCACTAAATTAGTTGCTTCTGTTGGAGCCTCTCTCGATGGTGTAGCGGTGTCATCAGCATACACGTATGTACTAATGAATACATTTTATGTTACCGTTATATCAGATGTAAAAATGGTATAAAGTACACGACCGAGCACACCTTCCTGAGGTACTACAGCATTCATATATGCTGAGTTAGATATTTCGTCGTTTATCTTCACAAAAAATTCTCTTTCTGTTCAATAGGACTTAAGAATTAGATATATGTGGGAAGAGAATATTTTTTTAGTTTAAATAATAGGCCATGCTGGCAAAGTGAAATATTATCTATTACCTCCTGCTATAGTGTACCTTAAATATTCGTAGATTTTTGATGAACTCACTCATTCGAACAAATGTGCCAAAAACTTTACCTTGACGCTTATTTTTGAGTGGAAATAAAAGCTGCTCTTAAAATCCGTCATCCATTCGGAGCCGACTGGGAGACAACTTCATCAAAAGGAAGACGAAATTACCTGAGACCATCCATAATGTCCTTCAATCCTGTTTATCTATCAGGCGATTCATTACAAAAGTAAAGTAGAGCTTAAATTTTGCAGTTTGTATTGAAGTAGAAAGTTCTCAAATGAGCCTATGAATTTTCATGCTAGAAGAAATCAAAACTAAGTAGAAAAAACTATTTTAGCTAATTAGAACAAATATTTTCGCTGGAAACTAATTTGTTTATTCACAATAGCTTTTAAAAAAAAAGGTGCAAGAATTTTTGGTCTCCAGTTATGGGGCACAGCTCACGCGACGATATATATAATAGACGCTTTGTAACCGCTGAAGCGATTTTTGGGCGAGCTCCTCCGTCTTGGTGTATTTCCGAAAAATGGGGAGACCTACCGCAATTAGAAAATTTTACTTAATTCTTTAAGCGACCGCCTCTGTCCAGCAAAGAGCGCCCGTCAGCAAGCACAAGGAATGTTCAACGTAAAAAAGTTGAAATCACATCTACGTGTATCTTCCTACGTTCAGCTGTAAACGGAACTATTGGTTTTCGAAAAGATCGTAAAAACAGCTGACACGGTGAGGACTTCTGTGTGGAGAGAAAACAGGTAGCCTACCTCGCAACAATACGGTCGACCACTACAGCGCGGGGTGAGATGGATACTGAGAATCAAAGAGAGAAGAGAAACGCTTTTGTAGATAAAAAGCAAAGAAACCGAGGGCCGTGAGTGTTAAGAGCTTGAGAAGCAGGCCTACAAAGGTAATGCTCGAAAACTCTACATAAAGCTACGACAACTTACAGAAGGATTCAAGACCGGAGCAGACTTGTGTAGAACCCAGAGGGGTATTTATTGGGCATTCACCGCCAACAATCTGATTGGCACTTTAGACCTGGTGAATCCAGCAACAGCGGCACCGCTGACTAGATCATGTGGTCTAGATGTAAGAACACTCTAGCTTTGAAAGTTTTCGATGCAGTATCCGCCGTTGGAAACAGAGGAAAAGAAAGACCTCTACTCCATTGGAAAGACCAGGTAGAGAAGGACCTGGTTATACATGTCAACGCCAAAAAAAAGAAGTCTATGAAGCGCCAATTATATGTACATATAGCCACGTCACGCAAATAGCACAAAGTACATCATACGAGAAAATGCAACTCTTCTGGCAAGAAAAAGGTTATTTTTCTGAATAAAAAACTATATATTTCTTACTTATTTATGTTATCTGGTTTACATTGCGTTTCGTATATTCCCGTAATCTTAGCAACTGTAATTTTATCGTCAATTTATGTGATCGAGATATTAGTTTAGAGGTAAATCGCACAGTCATCTTTTTATTTATTTTTAGTGGAATTTAAATACATTTAAAGTTAAATTCCATCGAAATTTACGGATATTGAACTAAAATGGGTCGCGGTATACACTGTACTGCTGAAAAAAGAAGCATTATATATAACAGGCTAACACAGGGAAAAGTGTTTAGGAAATTGCATCTTTAAGGAATTATTCCCGTAAAATGGTACAAAAATCCTTTAAACTGATTCAAGAGAGTGAAGATTATCTTTCTCAAAACAAATCCAAGGCACCAGCATGAGAGCCAAAATACGAAAAAACAAGCTAGATCCTTTTAGACAAAATATGCGAGCAATTCGTTTTGAATATATCTAGAAGCAAAGTCGGAAAACGCTGAGATGAAGCATAGCTATTTGGACGCATTACCCGCAAAAAACCGCTCCTGTCAAAAAGGCACATAAAAAAACGGTTAGAGTTTGCTAAGAAGCCTTAGAACCGGGAGCTAAGTTCTTGGATAAATGTATTATGGACCGAATAAATAAACTGGAACCAAGTGAAAAAACCACATTCCATCGTCAAAGAGGTCAAGATTTGAATCCGAGGTACACCAAAGAGACTACAAATATTCAGGAGGTACCTTTCGTATTTAAATCCATGCAACTAAAATTGGCTTTTATGCTGGATAATGGTCCTTAGCATACCGCGAAGGTCACACAAGATTGGCTTGCGAATTTCTTCAACAGCAAATCGACGACGACAAAAAACTTACAAGTTTTCCTTGTGGAAAATCATACGAGATTCGAAAAGAAAAATCAAATCCTACATTTCCAAAGAAAGGCATTGAAGGACGTCAGCAAAAATGATAAATTGTGGTCCAAAATTGTCGCTCTGCGGTTTGATTATCTCCGTCTAGTATTTTGACTTGGGCAGCGCAAAGCCCAGGCATACGAAATCCTCTCGAGAATTTATGGAACGATGTAAAAGCAAAAATATCTGCGAAAAATTTCAAAAATTTCGAATATTTGGTGGAGGGCGTCAAGGAGGAGTGGTATTCCATAGCAAAAGAAAAATGTGAGAAACTTGTTGAGAGCAAGGGGCGCAGATGTGAAGCTGTTATTAAAAATGGTGGATGTACGGTTTTTTACATATGTATTTATATATACAATATTTTTCGAAACCTTTAAAAAATAAATGTAAGAGACTGGGAGCGTAATGATTTTTTACATTTTTATTATTCCTGAGGCAGAACTTCGTTAAAGTAGTAGTAAGAAAATTGTTGCTGACTTACAATTTCTTTCGATCATATTAAAGGGTCAGACAGTCATAAGCTATCACAATATGTTTTGCAGCCACTTTTAGGCGCTTCCTTCGAGATTTTACTTTTTTAAGGAAAGACGATGCTCTGCTCAGTAGAATATTTTCATTCCACAAACACGCTGCTCAGGCTCTGTAGATTGTATAGATGCCTATTTTTGAACTGTAGTTTGTACCCTTGGCATGAGTGCTGTGATAGCAACTACAACTTATCGCTATAGACTTTAGGCAAGAAGAAGTTAAAGCTTCTTACTAAATGTGTTGTTGTTTAAAAATGGAATTGCTTTAGTGTTACTTCAGAATTATGACGCAGTCATGTCTTTTGAAAACACTAATTGATTTTTGCCTTTTTTTGAGAAGATGCTTTCACGTATATTTCATAGGGCATTGCTTAAAACTTATTGGCTCAAGATTTTTACACTATTTTTCAGCCACCGAACCGCCACGCACGCCAAATCCACTATTTAAACGGAGATTTTCACTCACGCCTTCTGCCACAGCCATAACAATCATTTCAACGAGTACACCAGCTGATGGACTCACGACAACATACTTCGCTGACGGATTTGATGCCGACGATGCCAGCGATCAAGTGGCCAAATCGAGTATACACACAAGCCATTTTAATCAATTCATACAAAATGACGCCGCAGATAATGGGGAACTAGTGGTGCAACGCGCACTAACCAGCGGCATTAAAGGAACGTCATTGAAATCTAAGGCAAATATTGGAACAGCAACGACGCATTCACCGTTAGAACCGAATCCGCCATATGTGGAATCCATTACACGACGTATGGGCACTGTGGCAGCCACCACAGAATTTACAGCAGCAAAACGTAAGTAAAATATCGAAGTGTATTCTCAATCGCAGTCCCACATACTAACGGAAATGCAATGAAATGGAAAATTATCAAATAAATTTGTAATTTCAGGAAAGTCTAACGCTATCAAGCGAAGGCCACAAAAGTACACGCCCACTACGCCACAAACACCGATACAAAATATAACCGCACGGCGTGGACAACCCGCACGAGAGGTGGTGCTAAACCGGCGACGACCTAACAAATATGCCGCCGGCGACACTTATGATCGACTAAATGGCAATCAGCCAGCTCCGGTGAAGACACCCACACGTGTGAGCAACTATCGCCCAGTCGTTGACTATGATTACTATGACGATGAGAATGAGCGTGTAGTTGGCAACACAGAAGGACAACAGGTATGTGAGCGTTTTTAAACGAAATATATAATTTCCCCCTCTAGTTCAACAATTCATTTCAGGTGAAGGTGATTTTACATGGCCGTGGCATAATCGAATGCCTGGATCAGGGCAACTTTCCACATCCACTCTCGTGCCGGAAATTCATATCCTGTGCCAAATTCGAGACGGGCGGTGTTGTAGGCTGGGAATATACCTGTCCGAAGGGGTTGAGCTATGATCCCGTTGGTGGCATGTGTAATTGGGCCGCTGGGCTTGGTTGTAAAGAGTAGCTGGCGACATGCATGCGGTAGTAGAATGGAAACAAAAATTACAAGCCCTTATAATGTATTTAAATTTAAAAGAAGAAGAACAATTCAATAACCATGCAGACGCACAAATTTATTTGCGAACATTCCATTCTACATGTAGAAATAATGAATATGCAATAAATAATACTCATTAATGTATGTAGTTTACCGTGAGATCGATACCATGTCTCTGCCGTGAATCATCCTCATTGCGTTCATTAAACCCAACTAATTTCCTTATGATCCTTGCAGTTATTTTATTTAGTTTTAATATGATAAAATTATGTGATTATCCCTTATTGTTTCAAATTCTTAGTAATTTAAGCGTAATTTTAAGTTAAACATAAAAAACTTTATTAATTTCAATTAGAGAATTTTGAAAAAAAAAAAATTGTAAATGCGTATATTTCTTGTTCTATTTTAATTTTATTCAACTTACAACGAATTATCCTCGTAAACTTTTCTAAAATACTTTTCTACATCAATATTTTATAAATTTTGTAATTTATGACCAATAAAATGTAAAATACTGAACTTTTTACAGAAAATAATTAATTTGAGTGAATTTATAGTGAAAGTGGATTCCAGTGTAAGTATTTACCTTTAGAGATCATGGCATTAGTATTTTTTATATTTTTGAATATTCCATTATATAATAACGGTTATGTAAGAAGTACTTGCGGTTGTTTTTATGCCTTTCATGTACTCCTGTTGTTCTTCTTTACTGGCGTAGACACCACACACCGCAAGTACAGCCAGATCTTTCCAACGGTGTGGAGGTCATCATCTTCCTCTTGTTTCCTTGGTGTGTGTTGCATCGAAAACTTTTAAATCAGGAGTATTCTAATCCATCTGGAGCACATGACCTAGCTAGCATAGCCGCAGTCCCTTGATTCGCTAACTGGTACTATAAATGGTACTGCTCATCAGGCGGTATTCGTCGTTCTCAACTTGCAAAAGACTATAAATCTTACTCAAAACCTTTCCTCAATAGCTCCGAACGCCGACTCATCATCGTGCATGCTTCCGCACCATATAGCAGGATGGGAGGGATGAGGGACTTGTAAAGTTTAGTCTTTGTTCATCGAGAGAGGAGATTACTTTCCAAATTCCTACTCAGTACAAAGTAGCACCTATTGGTAAGAACGCTGGTTTCAAACCGAAGCTATCTACAACTTCAAAGTTATGACTGTCAACAGGCGATGTGTTTTTTCACTCCATAATTCAGTATACTCTGATCATCATATTTCCTATACTCAATTTGTTCAGAATTTGCGGCTTTGGTTAGAACTCCGTCGAAAAAGCAACTGAGAGTATGAAATTTCTTTCATGAAAGCCGCTTTATGGTTACCCAGCTCTAAAACGATAACTCAACATATTACAATATTTTCCGACAACGAGACTTCTATTAAGTCACTCCAATCCAATCCTACCACCAAAGGTACCAATCAGATCCAGAGAAACCTCAAAAGAACTCTCGATGTTTACATACACTAGAAAGGCACAGTTCTAAGCACAGGCAACTCGGCACTCTTGCATTCTTGCTAATTGCTAATAGGTGCAAACTCGGCAAAGTATTTATTACTACTATATCTCACCCAAAGACCAATAACAGATATGAGATGGTGAATGTGACCAGAAAAATAAAAGAGAAAAAGCTAAGTCCTTACTCCTTTGAAACAGGACCTCCATAGGCATAACAACCGGTGTAATAACCGGGCACTGTCTTATGGATACTTATGGTGGTAGCATGAGCTGCCCGTAACGACTTTTCCCGCAGCTGCAGAGACATAAATTAGCAGGAATCTTTGGAACATTACCTCTGCCACTATCGTCTCCTGAGTGGGGCCCGTTATCGTCTTCTTCTCGATATCTTCTTAGATTGCGATGCAGAGCTTGAAGCTGAACTTCATGAAACACACCGATTGGTTCGAACATTTGGAAAGGTGAAAAAAATCTCCTTCATAGACCGAAGCCAGTGCTAGTCAGATGGAGCAAAATGCTCAAGAGTTCAGTTCCAATGTGGTTTCCTGCCTTCATAATGACTGAAATTTGGGTCTCTTAAGAAGAAACCTCCTAAAAAGTATATATGGGCAATACACCGCAGCTAGGCAATAATAACTGAAATGATACCTGATCCACCATACAACTCCTCCATTATATGCCTTGCTGCAGATTTGGGAAACTAGAAATGTGAGGGAAAAGTGCAAGAAGATCCTATCAACGCTCGGTAAGCTTTCGTAAGGCTCGAATGCATAGGAGAACTGCAGTGTTACAGAACCCCTTATGAACAGGCCTCTAAGCAGCGAATTTGAAGGAAAACTCGATGCAGGCAAGTCAAGAATTATTTTACTAGATTCGACTGCACCTTTAGCTTAATCAGGGCCACTTTGCCGGCTTGATTGCCAATTCACATGCTTATATCCTTAACCGAAAGAACATAAAGAAGTTCATTCCACCCAGACACTTTGACTGGCCAATCACACTGCAAGAAGTAAAGGTAACGTTGTGTCAATTCCGAGACACAGTAACCAGTGCACTAAGGAATAACTTTAAGGTCACAAAGTGCATCGCGAAACGAGGCCTAAAATCAAACAGTTGCCCAAATTCTCTAAGATTTAACGTACTCATAGCTCTCGCTTTGGCAGTTTTGCCAGTGATATCAATGGGTGCTAATTTTATTTGACTTTAAACCTCGGTCTCAAAAAGTTATACTTCTACCGCTGTGAGGAATCTTACTGGAAGACTACTTTCTCCATCGCGTTTTACGAGCAAAAGAGCCCTTGACATAAGTAAAGCACTTCTATTACAATGTAAGACGGTTTCCAAGATTACTTCCAGTTAAATTCTTTACAGCCTAGCGAATAAAACAAAGCTCCATCTAATTCCATCCCGAAAGTTAGAATGCTTTTGGCTCGTTCTATAGTCGTTTATTAGACCCTCTACTTTTCGCACGGGACACCTGAATATACTATTGACGGCTTAGAATAAGAAAATAAAATCACAAGAGCTGTACCTCTATCTCCAAGAAATTAATAGACCAACAAATTATTGTTTAGTACCAAAAAGTTTATTTAAAAAATCAGTTACAGCTCATGTTAAAATTTATCGATTTATTATGAAAAGCTTCTAATGCAAATACCATAAAAAGTAAGTTAAGTTAAAATTAAATATTGTATTTGTATTTGTCTCATTCACCTTTCCACTCTTCGTAGCCCTCTAGTTGTCGGTGTTAGGGCGACCGGCACCCTGATGTATGCCATGGTAGGAGTTCTGTTTCTGGGCAGGTGCGCTTTTACCGAATGGGCTCTTGGCGTTCACTTGGAGAATGTAGTCACCCTCCAAATCGTAGTCAGCAGCAATACCCATGTAAGCGCGTCTGCCATTGCCATTGTTATTCTTGTATTGTTGTAGCGATTCAGCGGCAACAGCTGGGAAGTTACGGTCATTGCCTGGACGCACTGTCTCGGCTAAGTAGCGAGTGGCACGTAAACTGGCTTCAATGATGTCATCAGTACCGGGCATATTGACAGATGGGCCATTAGGATAGAAGTCAACATCACCAGCACGTGTTGTAGTACCCAAACCATAAGCAGATGTGTGGATGGCATCAACGAAATCAGCATTACCACGAGTCAAACCGACCAAAGTGTTGGGTTTACGTGCATAAATCTTTGAGGGATCCATAGCGGTGATACGGCGCAAAGTGTTACCAGTTTGACGTGTGTATTGACGAGCAGCGGCACCAGCAACATGAGCAGCAATACCTTGCGCAACAATATTAATCACTTCCTGTGGCACATCAGCTTGTGCTGTAAGTTGCACCAAACTGTTACCGATGGCAGCGCCGACGCGATTGATGTCGAGTAAAACTAGATCTTCGAAATTGCGGATGACGGCACCCAAGTCGATAACTACCAAATTTCCATTGGGTTTGGGCTGTTGACCGTTTGGACGGTTGGAGGATTCCTCGCTCGATGATGTATCCTGGTTGGAGTCATCGCCCTGTTCACCTTGTACCTGTACACGGCCGTTGTATGCTTGCAAGTATGCTTGTACCAGCTTCTGGTTGGCACGTGCAGCATCGCGGAGCTTTTGTTGTGGCAGACCGGTGATGAAAACTGTAACTTCCTGTTTGCCGAAGTTAGGTTGTTGCTGAGCAGTGGCCACCAATTGATTCAAATTGAAGTTCACGCGTTGACCGGTGGGTGTGTATGTGAAGGCGGGAATCTGGTTGGGGCTTGGTGCATAACTGGGTTCAATATTACGACTCATCTGCGACAAGTGGTCTGAAAAGAAAATTCATACATACATATGTATATGTATTTGGCGGCCGCTTAAAGTGTTCGGCGCTGCGTAAAAATAAACTATGCAATACTTACAGATCTTGTTCACTAAATCTGCAGCCTCCTCAGCGGGCATTTCCTGCAGTTTCTCGAAGGTGATCTCATTTATTGCTGGCATATCCTCCAACTCACGTGGCGAAAGCCATTCTGAGGGTTGCAAATTGTTGCGGATCGCATTGCTGCCGCGATGTGCTGTGGCCGCCGAGAGCAGCACAGCCACCAAACAGAAAATAGTCAAAGGATTCATGGCTGATCAAGTAATATGCGTTGCTTTTCGGACACCGCCTATGTCGTACGAAGGGCGAGCAGTTGAGTGGAACTGTAACGATGACAAAATGCAAATTGTAGCTTTTATACAGTAAAATTGATGAACTAGAATAAGCATACAAACGGACACACACATGTATAGAGTTGCGTAGACTAAGCAATAAAATAAAAGTGCTGTAAATCGGTTTATTAAAACAAGGCATTGAACTCAAATTTCGAAAACGCTTTGTAGGGAAAAAAAATAAATATAAATGAAAATGGCAAATTCATACAAATACGTAGTTGATTGTGTATCTATGTATGTATATATGTACATGTTATTTAAGAAATCATTAAAAAGTTCTCCTAAGTAAGCAAGAATAGACAGACGCCAATGGATGTTACGCGCGTATCGATTGCTCAGTTGTAAATTTTGCTTAGTTGTTTATTTTGAAAACTGCAAACCTTGTATGTATGTACATATGTATTTAGATATGGGCGAAAGTAATGAGCCACTCTTCATGAAAATCGAAACAATTCAGGCAATCCCGATTCTTCTCGATGATTGCGCATGGAGAATTATGTTTTTTTACAAGAATTATGTAAGCTGGGAAATATAAAACCTTCTTTCCGTTCTGCATGGTAAACAAAACTTGAGTTTGGCTCTGTTTTTGTTTTGAATTGCAAAATTCAGAATTAACGCCAAACAAATTTTGTAATAATAAATTTATGACAAGTAGACTTTGCAACATGTTTACAATTACTTATATTTAATAAGATAGCCAATGTTTATATGGAACGAAAATATTTTTTCAAGCGTCACGATATTAATTTACTAATATTTTAAATATTTTCTAGTTCTTAAATTAAATAATGTATTACGATGTACTGTTTGAAATAATTAAAAAAAAACTTTCTTTTCAAATTATTTTTTATCGCTTAATTTGTTTATCGTTACGAAATTTTTTTTTTTTGGAAAATTACAAGTTTTATGTTTAAAACAATAAACTCAGATTGTATTTTGTTCACGCAAAAAGAAATCAGAACAAAATTTTTAAACATATCAAAAGGCCAAGGGCCGATTCCACCATTTCCGGTTGGGCACTCAAACATAACTTAATCGGAAGGTGAAATAAAATTGAAAAAAATTGAAATTGAAATTGAATTTCAAATGATGACTTAAATACTAAAATGAAATTGAAATTCTTTTTCCTGGTAAGCCGGTCAAATAACTCAACATTGTTATAGAGTTTCTTCGATTTTGTTTAATTAAAAACCAATCAAGAGCTTAATTTTTCATTCTAAACGCCACAAATATTTCATTTTGTGCATCGTTGTCGCTTCAGAAAGCGTACGACGACTCATTTGGTCGACACTGCTTTCTAGTAAATTTAAGGAATCCACAACTTCCACATTTTTAACTTTTAATTCATCAACGTGGGCACAGTGGTGTGCGGGCGATGATTCGACTCCAGTGCTATCGCGTTCCCATTTAATGAGTACCTTAACTATTTTATTGAACGCTAAATTTACTTTAGCAAAATTATATTTGGTGACTTATTTTGTTGGTATATCAATCATATTAAAGTCTAAATATTATTTTAATTTTAAATCAATTTCATTTTGTTGACAAATCGGAAATCAGCTGATTCTCATACTTGCTGGTTTTTAGTGTCTTTTCCAAACCAAATGTCAAAATTTTCTCTCTCTCGTTACCAATTTTACTGAGTTTTTGCCTCAACGGACACGATTCACTAAAATTCAGCAAAAAATGTTACTGCCCGCCTAGTCAATGAAGATTAGATACGAAACTCTTTGTTCCGTGAGAGCGTTCAAAATTCGGCATTTTTTATAACATTTCTGAACAGCGCCACTTTGATAGAAAAATTAAAGACGTCTGTAATTAAAATTTCACTAAAAGATTTCATTGAGAAACAATAAAATAATTAATTATACTTAGTTTTAATAATAAAATAATAATAATTTCTTAAATATTTATTGCGGAAGCAAATTTATTTTGAAACAAAAACAATGGATTTTTTTATTGACATTGTGGCACTGGTGCGTTTTGCCCATCAGATGTTGAATGTTCCCCGATCTGACACTGCTGCCAACATTAGAATGTGAGATGGGAGAACGCTCTAGTCATCTTTGGCTTTTATTTGTACATTTTCTCTTTCCAAAAAGCGAATTTAGGGACCGTGCTGGACGATAGTGGTCCTAATCTTAACAATGAATCTCAAATCCATACCTGAAATTGTGTCGAGAGGTGTTTTGGAGTATCGAGTATCTGTATGAAGTATCAGTACCACCTCTTGGATTGAGAGATTCACTCTGCACAACTATGAACTTCATTGCTGCCAGTGTGAGGTGTAATACAACATTTCCATCCAAAACAATAACTCTAATCTGGATGAAGTAGAAGTTCAAGTGCATAGAACCGCACGAAGAAAGATCTGTTGATGCCGACAACAGCAAAGAAGCACAATTGTAAAATCTAGTTTTATCATGGATTATTTTGCAAGGGTGGGTCTTTTTCCCAACAACAGAATATGTATTAAATGAACTTCAAAAAATAAAAAATATTCACAACCTGATGAAAATGAAAGTGTAACCATCAGTCTATATGGCGGCTGGATATCCTCCAATTAAAGGTTAAGTTAATCGGACATTGTGAAAACGGGCCTTAATAAAGAAAAATCTGCTAACTTATAATAAATGATTGTATTACCTGAAGAAAACTACGTGGCTTTGCTCTAATCACCTCACGCGGTTAAATGGTTATAACGTAGCTCTTGTCTGAGCTACGTGGTTCATGGTGGCTCCCCAATATGGTTTTACTCAATCATCGATTAGTAAACGATCATGTGACGATCATATCGGTTTCGGTGTCTCTTCGGTTACCAACGTCAGCTGTTATTTTTGGCAGTCAGGTGGCTTTTTGGGTCGAATCATTATATTTTTTGTTAAAGTTGTCTTGGGTAACGGGCAGGAATCAGCCCATAATTTTCTTCCTCTAACTTTACTAGACTCTTGTTCATATGTTGAACAGCCATGATATCTGCACAAAGCATTATTTCTTGGCCGCTTTTGAGCTATTACACATGGCATTACAAAGTAGAAGACGCGTGAAGCATGTTTGAAACCAGATCAGCCACCAAAGGAGCGTTAGCCAATTCTTCCCAACGTTCGCCAACTGGTACTTTATCGAAAGCTTTCAAAGCTGGAGTGTCTACTTCCATCCCTAATCAGTGCAGTGCCTAGGAAGTGCAGCCTAGGACCCAAATGATTAATGATTACCTGAAAAATTCGTTATTATAGATCGGAAACTTTTCATTAAGAGCAGAATCTTCAGCGAAATCAAACTCTAAAGCAAAAAACAGAATTATTGCAAATCCAATATGCGGCTTTATTTTGTATTGTTTGTGAGGCCATCTAAGTATTGATCTAGAACATACATTTAACCCTACCAGGTATTGCATCTGTGGGCCGTTGTTATCACTTGAAAACACGCAAAGTGCTTACAGATTAGCTCACTCAGCCCTTATCGGTGGAACGGTGAATCGCTTTCGTCATAACAAAAAATATTTGCAACAAAGTATAATTGATATTCTAGATTCTATTGTGCTACCGGCCGGCTAATACACCGATTCAGCAAAACTTGCATGCGCAAATTCTACAACCACTAGCCCACGTTCAAGGTCCGGTCAATGCCCTTCTGCAGTCAATAAAATATCAACAGTTTTTGATGGATTACAATTGAAGAAAATTCAAAATTATATTTTATTTGAATTATATACATATGTACATATATATGTAGTACGTTTTTGCTCTCACAAAATTATTGCAAGCGTTTTCAGAGCGGGTCCATCGAATATACATATGTTATGTATGCCATGCTTTAGCGGGCTTTCGAAAGTCAGTTTGAATTTCGTATATAAACAACGGATAGAAAAGCAGACGGCACAGTTCACACTGACTTGCGAACGTGATCAACATGAATCCACTCAAGATTTTCTGTTTTTTGGCTTTGGTTATTGCCGTTGCTAGCGCAAACAAACATGGCAAGAACAAGGATAACGCGGGCCCGAACAGTTTAAAGCCCACTGATTGGTTGTCCGTCGAGGAACTACAATCGATGACAGCAATCGATGACATCACTTTGCAACAGTTAGAGAACATATCCGTGGAAGATGCCGAACGCAAAATTGAAAAGATCTGTAAGTAATTGGTCAACATCATTTCCTTCTCAGCACTACACATATTAATAATAATTTTTATTTCTCTAGATCACTTGTCACAAATCAACCACGCACTGGAACCTTCCTACGTACCCAGCCCAAGCAATGTACCAGTAATGTTGATGAAACCCAATGGACAATCACAGCAAACCAACCTTAACGAACTGGTTGAGGCTGCCAAACAACAGCCCAACTTTGGCGACGAAGAGGTCACCATTTTCATCACTGGCATGCCACAAACGAGCTCTGCCGTCTCAAAGGCTAATAAGAAGTTAGTCCAAGCTTATATGCAACGTTATAATGGCCAACAACAGCCAATCAATGGCAACAAGGACTACGACTACGGCAGCAGCCAAGGTAATCAAGGTGTCACCTCAAGCGAAGAAGATTACAGCGAATCTTGGAAGAACCAGAAGAGCACGAAGGGCAACCTTGTCGTAAGTTTTATAACAAATAGCATTTCACTTTCAACCTGCATGACAACAGTTTTTTTCATTTTGCTCAGATCATCAACTTAGGCTCCACGCTCACCAACATGAAACGCTTCGCGCTTCTCGATGTGGAGCAAACCGGCAACATGATCGGCAAAACTCTCGTCCAATTGACCAACGAAGTTGATGTCCCACAAGAGATCATCCACATTGTAGCCCAAGGTATCGGTGCTCAGGTTGCTGGCGCTGCTGGTCGTCAATACAAACGTTTGACTGGACATCAACTCCGCCGTATAACCGCTTTGGATCCCTCCAAAATTTTCGCCAAGAACAGGAACGCTTTGACTGGTTTAGCTCGTGGTGATGCTGATTTTGTTGATGCCATTCACACATCGACTTGCGGTATGGGCACAAGACAACGTGTTGGTGATGTTGACTTCTATGTCAATGGCCCAGCATCCACTGCTCCAGGTACTAATAATGTGGTTGAGGCATCAATGCGCGCAACCCGTTATTTCGCTGAGTCTCTACGCCCAGGCAATGAGCGTAACTTCCCCGCTGTGGCTGCCAACTCTTTGAACCAATACGAAAACAACGAGGGTAATGGCAAACGCGCCTACATGGGTATCGCCACCGATTTCGATTTGGAGGGTGACTACATTCTGAAAGTGAACCCCAAGAGCCCATTCGGCAAGAGTGCTCCAGCCCAAAAGCAGAGCACTTACCATGGTCTTCATCAGTCGTGGAAGAGCGGCAAAAACCAAAACCAGGAATAAATTTTCTAAATACTTTAATTTCCTGTGAGATTATCGGAGATTAAAAAAATTACTACTTTTTTTAGGCAGCGATGTTAAAATTTTGTGTAGTATTTAAAATTTTCAAATAAAAATAAATTTGCTTTACAATGTTCTAAGCTAATTTCCTTATTACCCCGATACATATGTACTTACTATGATTCAACCATAATATTAAGTAGCAGGTGCAGCTCCACCTGTACAATAGGTTGATTTTGCGCTCCGCGTCGACATAGCCAAAGTTCATGCTAATGGTAATCGAGTAAAAGTTGAGAATGAAATGAAATAATATTTCCTGCTGTAAAAAGAAGAGCCCAGCAAAACGAGCTAAACTATTCCTATTTATTAGCACATTAGCTGGAAGCCATCACTAGTTCAAAATAATTTAGATGCTCCATTTAGCTCTTCGGACCTTTAAAAATCGAGCAACGAAAGAGTCCTCCAACTGGTTTTATTAGTCAAGCTTACAGCAATTAGGAGCTACAAATTTTTCAGTCGTTCCTGATGCTGGCAAACATCTAAGCATGCAATAATACACACCTTCGAGTATGTACCAGTCACCCCGAGTTTAACATCTAATATACACTTCACTGACCACCTGCTTAAGGAGGTTACCCCCTTACAGAGGGTTCAAAAAATCGATTTTTTGAAACTTATCTCATTCGGTTAGAAATATATTCAGAAATATTTGCACAAAATTTCAGAGCCTAATTCCTAATCGTTCCGCAGAAATGGCCTCTGAGAGACAATGCGCTCAGGAGACTGATAAGCGGGTGCGAGAACTCAATTTTCTCAAAACAGTGGTTTTCTGTTTTGTGTAATTGTCGCATTTTCAAAAGTGATACCTTTTTTACCGCTAAGTGTAGTCTTCTATGTGAATCATAAAAAAATCACAATAACAATTTTTTTCATTAACTTTTTTCAATAAATTATCTTAAAATTTCTTCAGAAAAACGCATTTTTTTATAACCAGTCATAAAATAAATAATTTTATACATTTCTTCGAATATCTTAGGTTCACATGGATGGGCAACACCTAAGCTACAAAAATGTATTCGTTTTTATGTTTCAGATGAAAACTACGTTCGCTATCGTGTGCACAAAATAGACTCTTCGGGCGAGAAGTGCCACAAACAAATACGAATTGTTATTGCTTAACAGTATCAAATAAAGTGAAAGTAAATTTTTTTTGCAAGATTTGTGTACCCATGACCTATTCCAAAAGTACTTGAAACATTTCATACGTAAGGCAACCTAAACCACTGTGCCGAATATCATGCAATTTTCAGCGTTCTAAACCAGGTTCCCCCCTTAAGTACATCAAATGGCAGAAAGCAAGAGCCGATAGTATGCTGGGTATGCTTATCAACAGCTACCAAAAAGCAATGTATGCCAGCTAAAGGCTGAAATAATTACTTTCAATACTTAACATATTCATTGGACAATCTGTGTAAATGTTGTGAGTGCCGAAGAATTAAAAGACACAAAGTAGTGAAGTTTTAATTTTTAAAGGAATATTATTGGGATTATCTAAAAGTATGTATTTATGTATAGAAAATTACATTTCCTTTCCGAATCGGCTTCATTTAGTTTTTCGTTATAGAAAGAACACCTATTATTGATGAATAAAAACTAAATAAAGTCTATCCTAGCACTAGAGCGGTGCACGATGCAACGACTTACACAGCAGACCCAAACTTAGAACAGCAGCACATCGCCATGTAGCACCACAATGAATAATCTCAATTCCAGCATATTCCGTTGTGTGGTGTTCCGTTTTTGTGTTATCGTAATTATTTAATTTACGTAGATAGTTTTCTTCAGCCAATGAATGTATAGAAATAAAAAGGAGGATGAAAAAAATTACATAACGTTACAAATGAGGTAAAAGTAAAAGCTTTGTAACTGCAAATAATTATTAACAATTTATGATTTTTAAATAACATCAATTTAAATAGACCATTTCTTAGCATTACATACCTACTTATTTACAGAATCTTCAAGATGGTCGTATGGATTGATATAACAATCAATATACCAAACGAACATTAAAATAAATATAAGTAAATTTATATATATTGTATAATTTAAGATAATTATTCAATTAAGAATTAAAAACAAATTTATTTATGATTTTAATAGTCTTAAAGTTGTTTTAAAGATACCTACTTGGCTTTATTTATACATTATAAACACATTTATTTCTATTATTATTCATAAATAATAATAGTCTTAAATATATAACTAACCCTATATAATATAAAAAATAAGAAAGTAAAAATTCATATGATTTGGCATAAGAGTACGGGTACAAACTAAAAACCTTAAGTGTAAGTGTGAGTAAGCTTGGTTTGCAGCTTTTGGTGCCTTTGGATCACAAATAACAGTGCTAAAAGCACTAAAAACTTATTTTTTTTTATACAAATCATTTATTTAATTGCTAATACATACCTTATTAAAAATGGATACGAGTGAGATAGACATAGTGTATTCATATGGAATTTTTGCATATGAAATAAGGAGTAAAAAACTACCTATAGTAATGCATCCCTTAGTTTTTTCCAAACGGTATGTAAAATATGTAGGAAAATTTTTGGATTTACATGGCTTGTATCAAAGAACGTATATTAATTTAGGGATGAAGTGCGAAGCCCAAGCTAAGGCCAAAGAGGGATGCAGAGGCGTGCTCTGGGACGCAAAGAAAAGAAAAAGAAAAAAAGACGGATGCATTCAGGATTTTCATTCCGTCTAGTGTATATATGTATGCTTGCTCTCATATTAGTATGCATGTATATACGCCCTATCGTTTTGCGCGCCAATACAATCGGCTCATTTTTGTTTTGGTACGAAATCTCCTTTCGCCGTCATAATTGTCCCGCTGTGCTACGAAAATCGCAAGAAATTTGAAGGAAGGTGTAATCTGGCTGTGACACCTCACTGTGCACCTCAACAAAATTTTTCAAATTGGTTCACAGTTCTTTTCCCTTCTTATTAATATACGTTCTTTGGAATTACGTAGTTGCGTTACCGTAAAAATGGCGTACTAGAAATTTGAACAAATCCTTACCTGCGCAATATAGTTATGTATTAAGGAGTTTTTAACTAAAAAAAGGAAGGGAACACCTGCAGCCCGCATAAACATTCTTTGCCGATTCTATGAAAATTATAAATCTAAATAGCTTGAGTTTTCATTAGGATGTGTTTTGATGTCTCTACCTGGATAATGCAATGTGGTGTATAAAACGTAAATAAGGGAATTACTGACAAACTCAAGAATTCAAATTGATGTTGGTCGATTAAGTAAGCTATCCCGAAACCCTGACTTTAAGATCCTCTCTCTTTTTCGGCTAGTTTTCTTTTGTTCTTTCGACTACCACTGTGAGAAAATGATCTTATTATTTAATTTTTTTTTAACTCCTATATTAATAATATATTCGTTTATTCAAATTGTTTGAAACGGTTTGCCTCCTCGGCTTTAAAAGCTTTTCGCTGTGAAGGCCCGCCAATAGGTTGACGAATGATCTGCATGTTGCGTGAGTATATCTCTGGATCATAATTTCCAATATCGGTATCATCCCAATTCTCGTCACAGTCGATCGGGTCGTGTTGCAAAAATTTTGTTCCATCATACTCATCTGGGCCTTCGTATTTGTACTGCACAATCAATTTTCGATCGGGACAGTTGGACAAATGGTTCTGCAATTAATTTACAGATTTGTATGCGTTACATTAACAGATTACTTAAATAAGTCGTTTGTATTAAATATTTACTTCATATTCAGGCTCGGGTACCAAATGTAGTTGGTTAATTGGACATTTTCGCAATTCCACGTCCGGGTAGTTTAAGCGGCACTTCAGTAGATGCAGTTGCAGACGTTTCCTCAATAAACGGTGCCCCCTATCATATGGACACGAAATTATATCATCGCCAGTAGTTTCCTCCATTTCAAATGCTCTTCCACTTTACGTTTATTTAAATAAAATAAATATTTTGAGCCTGACAACTATTTGGTAAGAACAGTTCTTCAAAAAAATTTCACAAATAAATAGTTCCGTTACAATCTTACTAAATTGACAGCCACATGAATAATTTTTTGGGTTGCAATAAAAGGTAGTGTATGTATATAGTATATATTACATACTGAATATTAAGCACTAAAAACTTTATTCAAAATATTTAAAGTTACAAATGTTATTGGTAAAAAACTTTATATGCATAACTTTTAAATCGAATTTAAAAATGTTAATTTGACTTTCACACTTTGAATCATTACAAAAATTATATACATATATCTCTGTATATTTTCACTTTACAGACGTTGCGAGCTAAAATAAAACATAATTAATATGTTAACAAAAATATACGTAAAATATTAAAATTATTGCTTGAATTATAGAAATTATCACATTTGACAAATTTGAAATGTACATTGTCTTTACACTACATATATGATAAAATTCTTATGTTGTTGTGGTTGTAAAATTCTTATGTAATTATTATCGGTTATGCCGGTTAACATTTTTCACTTGAAATCACAAATTTTTTCTTCACTTTATAAATATTATCTTTCATCCGAGTTTTCTGTGTAATTTTTTTAATATTTTTTTAGCTATATTCAAGTTGTTACTGTTATTGCCAATGTACTATCTTTTCAATTTTTAAAGCCTTTACACAAATTTTATGAGTTTTTTCTGTCTTTTGGTTGAGTATTATTAAGTTGTAATAAACGTGACCTTTCAGCTGCACGAAAATCCTTTTTAACGGATTTAGAATGTCCCTTTAAAGTCCTAAGAATCGGTGCATTCGCAGCATATGATTGTGGATCATAACTGGGTTCGGGCGGTAAATCGTCCCAATTTTCTTCTGATGGCAATTCGCATACTGGTGGTGGGGTCGATGAAATTCGAGATTTTTCTTCTTCAGACTCTCCTTGATGGTGCCTAAAGTGCTCGAAATATGCACGATTTGGGCAAGTTTTTACATGCCACTTAAACCAGAAATTGACCTATTAGTTCAATTAACTGGAAAACATTCATTTAAATAAAACTTACATCAAGTTCTGGTTGGTGGAGAATATGTGAATTATTAAAAGGACACGTCACCATCTGCACTTTTTTATGATTCTTTCGACACCTGACCAAATGCACTTGAAACCTACTTTTCAAGATAGTATGCGATATGTCGTAAGGACATTGCTCATATTCGCCATTGGGTGCAATCATATTTTGTATTCCAAATCGGTGCAGCTATCGTCCAAGCCTTATGAGATGAATCTGTTATTTATAGAGAGTGAAACGTTAATAATTAACAATGTTAACTGTTTGCTTATTTATACTCTGTTTTGTACTTAATAAATCTTGCCTTAAAAAAAACATAATATTCCAATGTGGCCAAGGTACTTATAAACAAAAACATAAGCCCCCCGTCAGTGCTACCAATTTAAATAATATGCCTAATCCACTATTAAATCCTTTGTACAAAATATTTCCACGCGCTTTATCTCAACACTACTCAAATATCATTAATTTTTCCTGCAACAAGGATTTGTTTGTCTGAGTCTGAGTTAAACAGAGTAACTTTCTTTGCGGCATCTCCTTTCTAGTCGAGGAGACTGCGTCGACGTGAAGAGTAGCTTACCGAGCTACTAGTGTTCATTTCTTTCCATATTTATTTTCACAACCATTGAATGGTTTCATTAGGATTGAGATGCTGGAATTTGAGAAATAAAAGTAAAATAAAATGTTAATAAGTTTCTACAACAATGTTTCTCTGTTTTGAAACGAGAGGCTGCTAGAAAAATGCATCGTGTGTTAGGTAAGTCGTTGGAACATAAACAGTGAAATTAATAAGAAATACCTGAGGAGCAAGTGTTTAAGAATTGCCCAGCGGTAAGACATGCCTACTTTAGGAGGCGACTGAATTCCAAAAGTTCCCGGGACATTGTGGTCCTTACACCGACCCGCCTAGGACTTTCACTACTACAACATCCAACTCCCTCAATAAACACATTACAAATTAAAAAAAGGCTTAGTTTGTTTTTACTCAAACAACGTAATTCAGAACGGTAGTAAACGCAAAAAAGATTATTCGAACATTTATTCCTGAAGTGCTCTAGCACATTCATCGTGCGCACCTTATCAAAACTTTTTTACTACGTTTGAACCCCCCAGAAACTACATAGCTGCCACAAGAGGGGAGAGAGAAACAAATATTTATTTTAGGTTAACAGATTGTATTAATAAATGATTTATTAAGAGTCTTACTAAGAAATCTTCATCCAAATTGTGATGTTTATGTTTTTCCAACAAGAGCGATCTATTTCTATAAATAACTTCAATTGCATGTCAGAAATACACTCAGAGTCCTTGGCATTCCCTGCCGAGGGATGACCGCAAAGAGAAAAATTAATTTTCTATAATTTTGGACTTTGTTCGAACCCTGGCCTCCGAACAATAATACGCATTGCTAACAACTCACCTTTTCTTAAGTAGTATCAGATAATACAAAATTATTTATTTTACAAATATTAAAAGAAAAATATGTGGAAAAAAAACGAAAAAAAACGAAACAAAACCGCGTTCCATCGAACAGCGGTGGAACTAATTTTAACTCAAATATATTGGTACTTTGGAAATACTTCATAAATTTGTATGTATAAAAATACAGGGCCGCTAAAAATAATTTTATTTCATTTAGATATCACGAAATAGAATCCAAAGTACCATATATGCATATTAATTTATTAAAAAAAAATTTTGAGTGCAATTATTTTGTTTGTTGTTCATTATTATTCTGTTATACTGTTTCAACAGTGCTGCCAAACTTGATCTGTTTACACACTTTGACGGTTGTCGGTTGCCATAGATTCACATGTGTCCATCACAGCAAATAAAAACAATTTGTTATTTCATGTTGATTGTACAATTTTAAATAAAGCAGCTAAAAATTTCACAATGCCACCCATATCGCAAGAAGGAAATTGTCTAACCTACCGTGGTAGTAACTTTCTTAAACAGGTAAGTTTCATACATACACTTTCTGAAATAAAGTAAATTTTCATTTTTGTAGCGCCTTATACTCTCTTGCCTCAGCGGCAAACCTGTGAAGATAACACAAATTCGCATAGATGATGAAACAGCTCCTGGCTTGCGCGAATATGAAATTGGATTAATAAGATTATTGGATAAATTAACCAATGGTACAAAAATTGAGCTCAATCCTTCCGGAACGTCGGTTCTCTTCACACCTGGTTTACTTCACGGTGGTTTGATTCTACATGATTGTTGTATTCAACGTGGTATAGCATATTACTTGGATGCATTAATTGCGTTGGGTCCATTTTGTAAAAATCCAATCATCGCAACACTAAAAGGCGTGACAAGTAGTAAAGACTCACCTTCAGTAGACCATATAAAAGGCTCTGCGCTTCCAGTTCTAAAACGTTTTTTAGTTGTGGATGAAGGTTTGGAACTGAAAGTGGTACGTCGAGGTGTAGCACCTCTTGGGGGTGGTGAGATCCACTTCCGTTGTCCTGTTCGTAAGAATTTGCGTTCAATACAATTTCAATCCCAAGGAATGGTAAAACGTATAAGGGGTACCGTATACGCATGCAAAGTATCACCAGCAATGGCGAACCGTACGGTAGAGGCAGCAAAAGGAGTAATGCTTAAGTTTTTGCCCGATGTGTATATCTATACTGATCAGAATCGTGGTAAAATGTCTGGCAACTCACCAGGATTTGGAATTTGTTTGGTAGCAGAAACAACAGATGGTGTGTGCTATGGCGCTGAGAGTATATCAAACAGCAAAGAAGAAGTAAGAAGTTAAATATTATAGTGTAATGTTAATGATTCAATTCTAATCTTTTATTTATTTTAGGGGTTAGATCCTTCTATTCCTGAAGATTTGGGTCGCGAGGCTGCAATGAAGTTGCTTGACGAAATTTATCGAGGAGGTTGCTGTGACTCCTCCTACCAATGGCTTGTCACTCTATTCATGGCTTTGAGTCAGAAAAATGTCTCTAAGTTTTTGACGGGTAAATTCAAAATTATTATGGTAGTCATACATTTTATTAATATAACATTATTTTTTAAGGGCCCATTTCCACCTACACGATACATTTCCTACAAAACTTGCGTGACTTCTTTTCGATTACGTTTAAGTTAGAAAATCCTGAAAACGATGATGAGGAAGATTCACTGCCGGGAGCTCAAAAAGTATTAATGACATGTGTAGGCATAGGTTACACAAATATAGGTAAACGTGTCAACTAATTGTTCTAGTACAGCTTAAACAAAAAATGGATGTACATAGATATATAAATGTATATAAACAAGGAAATAAAAAACATGAATTAATTTTTTTAACAAATTTTCGATGACCGACCGAGTTTTTTTTTTTCTTTTTTAAGTTTATTTTTGTAAAAATAGAACATATCAGAGAACTTATTCTAATGTTTCAATAATATTAAATTGATTATAAAAAATCCGGGTCGTTCAGGTATAAAGACCCAACTGTCGCGGAAATTTTTGGATTTTAGTCGCCTCTAACGACAGGCGTACCTTACCACCCCAGAGGGAGGGGGTCCTTTTTCAACTTTGATGCTCCTTCCCGGCCCACCCACAGACTTCTACGGTCTTACGGAGCTCCTCGCAGCATGACTAATCCCTATCCACATCCAGCTCATCTTCCTCCTTCCGTGCGAGAGCTAACCAGAAGCTCTGTTCCGTGTGTCAGTCCATTGTGCGTCGGAGTCAGATGTAATTACTGCCTTGGCTGAGGCCCTTTTGGACCAGCGGGAGCAGACTTCCTCATCAAGGTCCTTAATTTGTCTTTGACCAACCTAATGATGCCCGATGTGTGGAAATGGGTGGAGTGGTCCCGCTACTCAAAACGAGGAAACCAGCAAACCAAGGAGAGTCTTATCGGCCAATAACTCTCCTCTCCCAAGTAGCGAAGATACTTGAGGCCTAGCTGCTCCCGATTTTCACTCACCATCTGCGTCGAGCAGCACATCAGCATTGCAGCTGATCTGTCAAAAGCTTTTGACAGCGTCAATCATTCAATCATTCAGTGCTACTATCGGACATTGAAGCATCTTCATTACCGCGGGGGTTGCAGAGGCGGATCACGGGCTACCTGAGTGGTCGACAATGATCGGTAATATTTCGAGGTGGAACATCGAAACTAAGGAAAATTAAACAAGAGATTGCGCAGGGTCGTGTCCTCCCCCACTATTGCTTAATTTCTAGATTTGCAAAGTGCCTCCTCCACCAGAAGGAGTTTCCCTAACTTCGTATGCCGATGTTTGCACGATATTAACGTCTGGCTAAGAATTGATGACCTGTGTTCGAAAGTGAACTGCTAGAGACCTGTCCCTCTTCAGTGCAAAACAGCTTAAGTTACAGCCGATGAAATCCTCGGCTATCCTCTTCACCAGCTGAACGAAGGAAAACAGGCTCAAATTAAATGTGAAGGCCGATGTCGTGAAAACTCCGACCATTAACAGCTCCAAGGTACTGGGAGTCACACTCGACAGCCTACACTACACAATTGCCGCAAAACTCTAGTGCTGCAACCAAATACTCAAAGCACTAGCCGGCAGTACCTGGGCTAAAAATAAACAAACGTTGCTGGCAACCTGCAAAGTAATATCGGCGCACCGATCTGGGCGCCGGGGACGAACGAGAAGCCGGAGCATAACTTGCACAACGAAGCATCTACGCTACGAGTTAAGGAGCTTAATGCTTTGCTGTGCAAGCAGTTACTCTTGGGATTTTACCGCAGGGAACACCCCAATTGGCATCTAATAGAAACTGAACTTCCATCTACGCAAATCAGAATGGGAGTATTGAACATGAAGGACAACATCCAGCAACATGTGCAACAACCGCTGCACAGGACGGCGTACAGACAAGCACTGAACGCCATTCACCTATCACAGACAACGAGTTCGAGTTGCATCGAGAGACCCGCGTGGCACTGCTACAACTAACCACCTCTTCATATGCATCCTTAAGCCGACACATCTAACCCCCTCCCTCTTCTGATCCGATCCCATAGAAACAGTAAGTTTCCTGGACCTCCCGTTAGGTGACTTCGGTGACTTAGATTGATTAACCTGTCCATAAAGGGCGTTAACGTAGCCGCTACAACAACAAAAGCCGGTTTCCGATTTCAGCACACAGCTATGATCACTTGATCGATTTCGCTTTTCATGTCAGTTGCATTCACTTGTAATATACGACAGTTCGAGGTAAGTGAAAATCGCTTCAGCGGTTACAAAGCGCCAATTATATATATATATATAAGTAGATTTATGAGCTATTTAGTTATTTTCTATAATTTTGCGATAGTGAGACGTCCGCAAGAAGCATAATCTGATGGCAGAAATGTACCGGTATGCGTATACGTAAATTATTAAAAAGCGTCCTATACACCCTTTTTGGGGGGTAGGTTTAGGTCACCATCCTTGACGAGTACGCCATCGTTGGCTCTTGGCTCGCTACTCGCTACCCGACTATGTCGAGGTTCGAATAGCGATTTCCCGTTCAAAGAACAACAAGGCAGTTAAAGCTGACAGCCGGCAAAGCTATTCAAACACGGAGGTGAAGCGCTGACAAGGTGTAGGCTACAGCTTCTTTGCAAAATATGGTCAGATGAAAGCATGACCGGCGATTGGAATCTAAGTTCACTCTGCCCAATCCACAAAAAGAGCGCCAATTACCGTGAGATAAGCCTCGTCAATATCGCATATAAGATCCTGTCAAATGTATTGTGTGAAAGATTAAAGTCCACTGTCATCAAACTGATTGCACCTTATCAGTGTGGCTTCAGAACTGGTTAATCAAATATTGAACAGATATTCACCATGCGACAAATTTTGGAATAAACCTAAGAGAAGAGGATCGAGCTGCCTCTACGCTTCTATGTCTGAATTTGGTATCCCCGCAATACTTATACGGCTGTGCAACACAAGAAGAATCATTCAGAATTCGGAAGGACGAGGTTTCAGACAGTCTGAATATTTATCGTGTGCTTCGCTCAGCTGCATAGCTAACTGGACAGGGTACAATCTTTCACAAGAGTATATAACTACAGGCGTATGCCATTGATATTGATATCAAAGGTGAAAACGGAAGTGAAGCAGCTGAAAATGTGAGTAGTGCTTAGGTCCGAATGCTGAATAGTCAATCATTCATCTCTTTGGATTCGTCTATTTCGTTCTGGGAATTTCGATGCAAAAGATGCTCCACGGACAAAGAGTCCCTGAGGATAGAGTCCGCAAGGACACTCAAAACTATGACGGGATCCCTATGGAAACGTTACAACAAAGTGCTAAAGAAGGGATGGAGTGGGCGATGGCCTTACTACAAAACTTCCTGGTGGACTTCGTCGCAACAGTGGACAAACTTGTAATCTTGTCTAAAACACAAAAGTCGGGAGGGGTTGTCGCTTGTGAATACACGTGGTTGGTGTCGTTGTACAAGGCTGCAATCCCAATGTTAGATGAAGTTTACCCTGGAGCGATGGAATCCGACCTCGAGCAAGGACGTGGGTACGAGTTACGCCAGTGGAACCAGTGCTGTAAGTTTTGAACCCGTCCCCTCTTACCAGGTATTGAAGTGCTATGAAAGTTGAAGAGGCCGTCGAGCCGAGGAGGCTAGTAGTTCTCTCGTTAAACAGAGAATGTTTTGACATGCTAGAAACGAGAAAGGGAGTGCAGTATTGATTGGTGATTGATCGGATGGATACGGAGGTAGACATTGAAGCGTCTGAGCAAAAGTCGGAGCTCTCCGATGCTGAGAGTGGTGCCTCATCTCAAACAAAACCTTGCTGAGGGTGCTATTGAAGAATAGAGGAAACCACAATGGTAATTAGGTCTAAATCCGCAACTTCGGTAGGTTTTCATCAAAAGCAGGACAACAACCGGACTACCTTTGGAAAGGAAACTATAGAGCTACTTCTAGATACTTATTTCCCTGGCAACTCGCAGGCTTCTACGAACTCATCTCATTTGTCAAAGGCAAATTTAACCAACTCGTCTTCATTCCCAAAACGGGAATTGCCCTAAGGGCTTCAGATCCATTATTGTTCCTCCCTTCGGTTAAAAGCATCAGAGAGCTTCATAGTTAACTATCTTTCTCGAATCATCGACAAGAGACTACTTTTAAATTATCAGCAGCTCTATATACATCTGAAGAGAAATCGACAGAAACTGCGCTACATGACTAGTTACCTTTATTCTGTCTTGTTGTCTTCCTAGATATAGAGGGCGCTTTCAGCAATATCTTACCAAGTGCAGTTACAGCTGCACTGTTAAGCTTAGATTTCGACACTCTATTAGTGGATTTCATCAACCAACTACTACACGGTCATAACCTGGATGGATATCAAGTATCCGAAAATGGGGAGGAGTTCTCTCCCAGTTGCTCTGGAATCTCACAGTAATCTCGCTGTTAACGCAATCGAAATGCGGTGGTGCCAAAGCTATTGCCTACAACGATGACATAGCCATTGCATTCAGAGGCAAGTTTCCACAAACCCTCTGTTACTTGATGAAGTGAACGCTAAGAAAGGTGTCGCCTTAGTTCAACCGATGAGGCCTCTGTGGCAACTCAAACAAGGTATAACTAGTTCTATTTACAAGAAGATACAAGATCCCAGCTATCAACCCACCAGTACTGCGCAGTGCCCAACTTTGCCGGGGGTGCAAAAGCTAAATTTCTAGGAGTCAGCTCACTCAAGAAGTCAAACTGGAAAGATAATATTATCTAAATGGATACGAGGAGGTTGCTCCTGTCCTCTTTACAAGAGCAATAGGTAAGAGATGTTGTCTAAGCCCCAGGATTTGCCGACGAATCTACGTTTCAGTGGTAAGATTATCTGGGGGTCACTGGCAAGCAATGAATGCTTGTTTAGTAATATTTAATATATATGATTTCGTACCAAGATATGCAGATCGATGCGGTACATATATATATATGTATTTACTGATAACTACTTCAGCAGCTACGAATTTCCTGCAGGGATTAATGTGTAGATACCAGACTCCAGGTGAGAACTTGGAAATATGCACGGACGGATCAGAGCTTGAGAGGAGAGTTGGCGGAAGTGTCATTTCAGGGAACCCTCCTATGGAACTCTCTTTCAGACTACCTGACCATTGAAGGGTTTTCCAGGCGGAGTTATCTGTTATCAAGGATGCTGCAAAGCAAATAGGAGGCAGTTTGAAAGATATGGACATCTTAATTTTCAGCGACAATTAGGCAGCAAGAAAATCGAAATGGGTGCTGGACTCTCTAAAGAAAGTACGACTAAGCAGATTCTTTTCGATAAAAAACTCAGAGGTATGCCTATTGCCACTTGTAAATGGAAGGAAATTACATATGAACAAGCTGCACCAAAGTGGAAGGATACTACAACCTGCCGCAAATTCGGTCATCCAAAGAACGTAAATACAACAATAATAAAATAGGAGCGAAAGGACAAATTTTAATGTGTGACAACTTTTTTAAAATTTTTGTGTTCTGTAGTAAATATTTGTCCTTATTAGGATTGATTTGCCGTCGGCATTTCGCAAAGCGTTTCTTATAAGGAGGATTATTTAATCATGAATTGTAATTTTAACATATTAATAAGATGTTTGATTAATAATTTTATTTTTTATTTTATTTTTTATTTCCTTTACCGGCAACGGAAGAATAGACCTTTTAGAAAGTTCTAAAACTGAGTGCGATCAATTGATGTGGTATATAAAAAAACAGACACCACAGTGGGGAGGCAGTTACAAAGTGAACTCGTCGATGTCAATATCGGTGCAGAGTGAAAATATTAGTATGTGAAAGTTGTAATATAAGTCGTTGACTAGACATGATTGGTTTCTTTACAATTAAGAAATTGTAAAACTAATTTAGTGGCTTATATTTAGCAATTCAGTGATCGCGCTCGAAGGATTTGCGAATAATCGAGGCATGTTACGTAGTCGTTACGATAAGAATCCTCCCTCGTTTATATCGATAATTTAACGAAAGAAAAATTACAACCCTTTGTTTGAGTTTGGTAGCACTCTTAAGTCAAATCAAACAGTGCGTACTGTGATACCTGTTATATTTATAGGCAAAAGTGACTTCGACATTCATTTTAGACAGATGTAAAAGTGAGGAAACTAAACCTTTGGAAGTTGGTTCCCAGGAATAATTTTAACGAAATGTATTCTATTGAGGATGATAGCGATGTTGTTGTGTGCCCCTACAATAGTGCACATCGTTTGATGCGCAAAAGGTTACAGTCTCATCTTATCAAATGTCGTCAAAATTATCCACAACTTGAACTCCAGATATGTCCATTTAATGTAACACATCATATACCTGAGCCGGAATTTAATGTAAGTTTCTCTAGAATTTTTCCAACAAATGCTTTTACAATTTAACGTTTTTTTTTTAGATCCATGTCACGAACTGCCCAGATCGTAAGCTCATAACACAATACAAATACGACATTGTAGAACCAAAAGAAGAGGAGCGAGTTCGTCATGCACCAGTCGAATGCGAGGAAAATTGGGATGACACTGAAGTGGAAGATTATAATCCGCAGAAGTTCATTGATCAAAAGCCAGTTCTTCGAAAACCATTTGGAATTCCAGCTTCAGAACGGAAACAATTTATAAAGCGCGAACGCATACGATTAGGTGACCATGAGGTATATAGTGATAGTGATGAGGAAGAAGAAGAAGAAGATAAGATAAAATGTGAAAGCCCTGTGGAAACAGTTGTTAAAGAAGATGTGGACGAGGAATTAAATTCATCTATTAATCCATTGCAACCAATATCGCCCTCACCCCCACCTTCTCCTAAAAGAATTAGATCACGTAGTCGTTCTCCCGTTTCGGCTTATTATAGGCGTATTCATGGACGAGAATCTCATTCGCCATCTCCTCCACCGCCACCACGATTTAATCGTCAACTCAGTCGTGAACGATCGCCACCAAATAGTAAAAGAGCTCGTTCTCCTGAAGTTTATGAAATCGACGACGATCCGTATTACAATGGTGGAAGAGGATGGTCTAGTAGGAATGTCACTAACGCTACCACTAGCAGCAGCAGCGGCAGGGATGCTAATCGATCAAAATACGAAGCTGAATTATATATGCGCGACACTTACGCCAATCCTCCTCTCGTTTCATATCCAACTCGTATGCCATCGTATGGTCGCGGCGCTCATCGGGGGTATTCTAAGGATCGCCGAAATGACTCACATTATAACGGACGATATTAGTTTTTACTTGTGACTATTCGTAATTTTTGTTGGCGTGCTCTTGTTTGCATGTATATTTTTCATAAATGTATGCTTTTAAATTATCGACTATTATTATTTCTTAGTTAGTTTGTAAGTAATATCGATGTCTTAGATGCACCTATTAAAAATAAATATTTAATAACTGCTTTATCCTTTCTATTGACAAGAGTATTCCATAAACTTAATTTTTTTTAAATAAAACTATTTATTCATTATTGTCATAAATTTGTAAGCCACATCACGAGGATATTTCTATATAAACTTATTAAGTTAAATCATAAAAAACTTCAATTAAATAAAGATTATTCAAAAGTATAAAAAAAATTACTTTATCAAGTATTTTAAAATGATACTGGCATTACAACCAAGGAGTTTTATAGAAAACGATTAATACTTCAAAAGCTTTGAATTGTAAAGAAAAATGGTTAGCCAGTATTTCGAGTTTAGTCATAATAAGTCTTCAAATTTTGCAAACGTTTTCGCTCAGCGTTACGAAATGCAGCTCTCTGTGATGGTTTCATACCAACTGGTAGACGTAAGATATTTGCCTTTTCAACGTAAGCTCTGGGGTCATATGATGGCACCGTTGGTAGATCGTCCCAGCTTTGGGCTGAGTCTAATCCAAATGATGTATTAGCCGTCTCCCAAGTTGTATTAGTTTGAGTGCTATCGTCGGTGAATGAGTTACATGTCGATGAAGTTGCTCCTTGCATTACTGAATCGTTACATTTAAATACTTCGAATGATTGGCGACTTGAGCACGTTCTTACGTGCCACTAGAGTGAAGAACCATAACAGCATTAGAAACAGTTTACATATGTTTAATTTTCAATCATGGATAATTCTTTAAATCACCAGTGGGCTATAACATGGTGTAAAAAAGTGAGAAGTCGAAGAAAATGTCTAAAACTTTAATAAAAAATAAGTCATAACGCATACTTCCATATCAAAACACACATATTTTTTGTTAGACAATATTAATACCCACTGAGATCAGAATTATCCACTTCTTACATAATTTATCACTTACATCTAATTCCTGTTCATTGACACGATGCGTGACATTGAAAGGACAAACTACTATATTGGCGTCCGGATAAGATTTCCGGCACCGGACTAGATGAACTAGAAAACGGCAGCGTAGTATTTGATGAGCAACATTGTAAGGACATGAAATCAAATCAACTTCTTCGCCTGGACGACGCAACATTTTCCTACGCCTATTTCTGTCAATTAGTTTTCAACTTATTCGAGTAAAAACTAAAATTTTACCGAACGATCTACAATTTTCGCATTAAAAAAAACGGTAAAAAGATATTTAAATCGGCTACAGGATTGCCAAGTTTCGATTTTGTGAAATCCTTTGTGAATGACAGCATTCCTCCATTCCTCTAAAAGATATTTTCGTTCATAAATTTTTATAATAACTTAAATATACAGCCGTAAACTTTTTTTTGTAGTCAATATATGAAATGAAGGCTCAAATTGTTTCCATAAGAAAAATAATATAAATTACTTGTTCTAAACACAGTACAAACACACTGTAAAAGAAGAAATACGAAGTTATGAGAATATAAAGATTGTTTTAACTTTGCGTAAACATTTTAATTCCATCTCATACTTTTGCGCACAGTGGAAAGAAATAAATTTTGTCATATTTGCAATGAATGGCACATACACATTATATCGCAATCTTACCGCTTTGGCTTTGTTAAACACAATTAAATTTTCGATATTCCTTGATTTGAGTTTTGAAATAATGAGAATAGGGAAAGAACGTATATTAATTAATATACGTTCTTTGGCCATGCATTTTTTTCGCCGTGAAGGTTTTATTTTAGGGCTTGCGGCAACCCCAAAGTTTGACACATGATGTTTACGCCATTTTAGTCTTAGTTCCATTTCATTCCGATAGCGTTTCTGTTCCTATTTCTCTCTTTCTTCTACGGCTGTTCGCCATCCAAGATGGTAGGTGAAAAATTTCATTGAAAAATATTTTAAATCCATATATTACCTTGCCATCAATATGTGAAAAGAATTGAAAATAGCACAATTTTCATGAAAAAATGTGGAAATTTTGAAATATGTAACTATTTTGAATCGTGAATGAAAAATGAATAAATGTTAACCAAATTTCGATTTGTGTCGCAATGCAAAATATTCCGATACCAATGCTGGCAAGGTTGAAGATGTGACAAATTCACAAATATCTAATGCTCATTTTACAAATCTAAATGTTAAAAGACTTTGTGTACTAAGTTAAATTTTGTGTGTGTTTCTTTTATAGACGAAAGGTACATCAAGTTTTGGTAAACGCCATAATAAGACGCACACTTTGTGCCGTCGTTGCGGACGTTCCTCCTACCATATCCAAAAGTCAACATGTTCCCAATGTGGATATCCCGCTGCTAAGTTGCGTTCATGTGAGTATAGAATGTTGTTTAATTTATTGTTATTAAGTTTAATTGGATTCAGATTTGTTTTCAGAGGTTAGGTTGTTAAAGGAGGTGTAGTTTTGTTTTAGATTGTCCGTATTAAGTGGAAGGCCCTTGGAAATTATTTGTAATGGTTGGAATATAAAGGATGTTTTGGAAAAGTTTTGTAGCTTTAACTGCAATCTGGCTTATCCCATTCAGCTCAGTTTGAACTCGTACGCACAGTATAAAATATTTGAAACGCACTTATCTCGAGGGAATAATTTAAAAATGTTTTAAGATTATATGTCGTGCCAGAATAAAGAAACTAAAATAGTTTATCAGTTTAAGAGATAGTTCCCTATGTGTATTGGTGTTTACAAAGAGGTTGTTTAAATCTCAATTTCATATCAGTTTCCTCAAGCAAGAAAGAGTCTTCTACATGTATATTCTGTGTTTTGAGGTCTTGAGCTTGTTACAATAGCTTTACGTCCCAAGCACGCAGATATATTAAAGAATACAACTGAAATTTGCAGGAGTACTACAGGATTTTTGCTTATTAGTTCATTTCAACATAATATTTATTTAAAGTGTTTAAAAAAAAGTAGTATAATTATTAGATGAAGCTGCTTTGATACTAAAAACAAATGAGCATAAAAAATGACGCGAGCTTATATATTTATGTATTATAGCGCATATTTTGCTAAAGTCCTTTCGTTTACCATTTGTTCTGACATGTTTTCTCTATTTTCTTTTGCAGACAACTGGTCAGTGAAGGCTAAGAGGAGGAAGACCACTGGTACTGGTCGTGTGCGTTACCTGAAAGTGGTCCGCCGCCGTTTCCGCAACGGTTTCCGTGAGGGTACGCAAGCTAAACCCAAGAAGGCCGTCCAGACTAAATAAGCGATGAGCACATACTAATTGTAGTTTGTGTATCTTAGTATGGTCTACGGTTGATTTCTTTTTTTAAGGAATTGTTAAAACTATAAAAATGGGAGATAAATAAAATCTTATTTTTTTGTAAAACAATTTTTTGTATTTAATTTGAATATGCATTTATTAAAGAAAGCGTATATAAGTGTTTTCCACTTGAAATATACATATATGTATACAAGTATACATGATATGTTATTGTTTACATAAATTTAATAACTTATATGCAGAGGCAGCATACATCAACCACTAAATGTGAATCTCTGTAGCTTGCAGCTAATGGATTTGAATTGAAAATGACTTGCACTTTTTTTTGGGAAAAACGGGAATGTCAGCATATAATGTGCTCAAATAATTTCAATTTAAATAAGCTATATTTAAAAAATTGGAGTTTAGAATTTATTTACATACATAAAAACAAATATATGCAGTTATTATAATTTACAATAACTATAGAAATATACATCACAGACTTAACGACTAAGACTCCCGCTAATTATTAAATAATGACTTAAATACACGCTAGCATAAATTACAACAAAAGACAACTAAACTAGCCACTAAGAACTAATCGCTGTGAGCATGCACAACTTTCCCATTGGCTATCGTGCCATTAGAATGTGTCGTTGAGGGCGTCGAGTTGGATTCTGACGATGATTTTATTGCTCCGTTCGCTGCGCTTTTTATGGTACCATTTGTTAGATTTCTACTTGGTGTGCGGTTAAATATGAGCTTCTTGATATTTTGGAATGGTGCATCAAAGAGAACGGTGAGCGCAACCGACGCAAGGAATATGCAAATATATTCGTTGGTATCGAGCTGTAAGAATCAATGAAAGGCAAATGAGTACATACGGAATAATTGGACAATTCACCAGGAACTTACAATGATAGAAACGAAATTATAATAATGATGAATGTGTCGACGACGGCCGACATTGAAGAAGAACACTGGGAATTGTGTTAGATAAATTGCGTACGATAGTTTCGTAGAAACTTGGAAACCTTTCCACGAAAGCATATTTGTAAATTTGTCTAAAAAGAAATCAAATTAGCATAGTTTTTATATTGTAATACCACCGATTAGTGTTTTGATGAAACCCACTTGTATAGCCATTATGTGAAACAAAAACGATCCACGCGAAGAATATACACCAAGCAATCGGTGCAAAGGCTGCATATATGGCCGCATGCGTGCTATTGTATTGATAGCTGATGTCGCCCATAGGCGCTGGTCCCAACAGCGATACTAGCACACAGGCAGTGGCAACTGTCCAGCCGAGACGTAGCTGTGTGTTCGTTAATTGTATGCCACGGTATTTACGCAGACAATAGCCAAGCAAAATGCCCATAATATAAACTGTGGAACGATGTGGTGGGAAGGAGTACATATAGTCGGCAGTGCGGAAGAGGCGTTGAATGCTGGAAATTGAAAAAAAAACATGAAGACTAACTAAAAGAGCACTCTTAAATGAGTTTTCAAAGATACTAAAGCAGCACTTACATGCATACATATGTATATAATTTTTTTTTTTTCATTTGAAAAAATAATACAAAATAATGTACTCACTTTGTACCAAAATAGATATAATTTGACAATTGGTTTACGATGGTGGTATAGTAACGTGCGGCAGTGCCAATCGCTGCAAGCATAAGCAACGTGAATAAGCCTTTTCTAGGCCATTTCCATAGACCCAGTATCATTAACGGCGCTACGGCGAAGAGTTCAGTATCAATTCCCAAGTGGTGTGTGTGTGTGAGGCACTACAATGAGAGGAAACAATAAAATGTTAACCTTATATTAAGGTTTGCGCTTTCCAAATAAAGCTAGGTTAAAAAAAAACTAAATTTGGTAGATCTCAAATCAGCGATGTAGAAGCAAGACTCCTCTGTTTATCTCTATGAATGTGTCTCCTCTCTGATCAATTTTTGAAGCCCACTTCTTACGGTGTTTGAGACTTTTCACCCTTGTTGGCATCCATTTAAGAATCAGAAAATTTCTATACAACTTTTTAATACTATATGTATGTTTGTGTTAAAAGCCTTTTAGAACCTAGTTTAGCTTACCATCTCACTGAAGCCAAAATAGTTGTGTATGAAAAGTAAGTTGCGCCACCAGTTTCGCTTGCAAATATCCGCATGATGTCCAACAACCAAATTCCATTGCGGTCCCGAGCCCCATAAGGGCAGTACAAAGGTGCAAAAGAGTATGAGAGCAGCTAGTGGCGGTACAATGCTGTAGGATAAAAGAAAAAATAAAATTATTCAAAAAAAAAAACATTTCCTCATGTGATTACTATAACCCAAAGATGGGAGGTAGGAAATCTTCTCAAGCGTAACTAATTTCATTTAACTTCTCTTTTAGCCAAAATCGGAAATATGCTCATCTTCAGAAATATCAAATAACAGTCTCGCGCCAAACCAAAACGCAAAGAGTTTCCTTATTGACCAATGTATCACGAACCCAGCTATATTACGGCTCCTTTCTCCTCCAGTAGCCCCATTTCGTATACTAAACAGAACTATTTTGTTTTCCACTATACTCCTTTCTCTACCTCCTTTGAAATAAGCTGGACCTGCTTCAGGATCGTCAAAAAAAAAAAAAAACAAACTTTGTCATGTCGACAAGGTCTTCTAATGTGAGAGCCATAAACATTACAACCTTTGCCTGGATAAAATTGATATAGGTATAGGTAACTGTTAGGAACAGGAAGAGCCAGTCGAAGCCGTCGAGGTCGTAGGAGGCACAAAAAACGAGATGTAACATATTACAGATGATGCCCGCAATGTACATTATTTCCGCTGTGTCTGAGGCGTTTGGTAGGATTATGAATAAATAAACAATTATTTAGGTGTTCTAAGATGTGATCTACAGATTAAGAACATTGGTGAGTAATTGCGCTCCCGACGGATCCAGAGCCTATAACGTTCAAACGGGTGGAGGCTTTTACCTTCCCGATAACTTCCTGAAACTCTCCTCTGTTTGGTATTTCGCCCAAACGAAGGGCCGTTTCATTTTGGCAACCAAAGGGTGTAGTGTAAAAAGCCGACTAAAATAGTGCGGTCGTCTGTTATATGCTTGTCACTCTTTTTGTCGAAAAACCACCATTACATAAATAGAAGGGAGCGTTTGCTCGTGTTGTTGTTGTTGTTGTTGTAACCGAAAATTATTCCCCGAATTGGTTTTCGGGGAATATTGCGGGAGTAACAGTCTTTGGCCGGACAAAAATCCGGGTCGTTCGGGTATAAAGATCCGACTGTCGCTGGAACTATTGGATTTTAGTCGCCTCTTACGACAGGCTTGCTTTACCACAAGTAAGTTCTTGAGCCTCTAACCCGCAGGAGTAGGCGTTTGCTCGTAAAAAGCTGCAGTGGTTATAAGGCAGCAATTCTAGTTTCAGCATTTTTCTGAATTTTATGTGTTTATTTTAAACTTTCCTATAACTCTTAAAAAATCACCCTTTATATATTACATACGAGGTGTTTTCAAAAAATATCGCGAATTTTGTGCTTTTCTAAAAATTATTTATTTATTCATGAATATCTATTTTGTCCCCTTCAAAGTAATCCCCATGAGATATTATACACTTGTGCCAACGGTTTTTCCAATCTTCGAAGCACTTCAAAAAATCATTTTTTTTTTTATCTTGTGCAGCTCCTCCTTCGATGCCGTCTTTATCTCGTCAATTGTAGCGTAACGTCGTCCTTTCATGGGCCTCTTTAGTTTAGGGAACAAGAAAAAGTCACAGAGGGCCAGATCTGGGGAGTACAGTGGCTGCGGCATCATTAGTGTGTTGTTTTTGGACAAAAAGTCGCGCACAAGCAACGATGTGTGAGGAGGGCGTTATCGTGGTGCAAAAACTAATTTTTGTTCTTCCAAAAATCCGGGCGTTTCTGGCGGATTGCTTCGCGCAAATTGTGCTTAACTTGCAGGTAATATTCCTCATTGACCGTTCTACCCTGTGGCAAGATCTCATGATGCACCACGCCCTGCAATTAATTTTTTCGTCTGTTGCTGAAGTGCTCGGGCGTCCGGCACACTCTTCGTCGTTCACATCTTCTCGGCCTTCTGAGAACATTCTGTACCACCGATAAACGTTGCTTCGGTCCATGGTAGCTTCTCTGTATGCCACAGGCAACATTCGGAATGCATACGCGTACTTAATTTCGTTTTTCACACAAAATTTGATACAGTTTCTTTGATCCCTTTTTTTGAATAGGTAAAAATCGAAGACCATCCAAAAGACGGGCAAGCAAAGCAGCTGTCAACATAAGTCAACATTCAAAATGGCCGAGCTTGTCAGCATAAGTGACAGATATGAGTACCTAACGCCACAAAATAATCAAAATTCGATTATACGTAACCCCCGAAAATTCAAAATTCGCGATACTTTTTGAACACACCTCGTATATGCTAAGAGTCACCATTCCACACGACAGCCGGTTCTACGCACTAGATCTAACCCCGTTTAGGCCAATAGGTTAGGTGAAGATCATTATTTTGCCTTTGAACTTTAAAACAACAGATCTATCACTCTCTCTATGCATCCGATAGATCCAAATAGCACGTACTAATGAGCCACTCCTTAGATTTCTCGACATTAATAAGTTTTATTCGCCTCTAAGCGCGGATATTGCAAACCGCTACATCAATAACAATAACATACGAGAGTAAACTCACAATGATGCTGCGTAGCAGAAATAGTCTTTTAGCAGTAAGATACAGATTCATAGATTTAATATCCCAGATTCTGGCAAACCTTTGGCGAATGGCGCTTATTATTGCCATTCGATGCCTTACCGAGCAGTATGTAGAGGATTATGTACATACGTCTAACAGTAGACATGACGTGGTGCTTCCATTGAACCTTGTTACAGAGGTCAAGTTTCCTCAAGCTGACACCAAGAGCCAATCACTACATGCAAAGAAGTAGCGTAAATGCCAATATAAAGATCCAACCGGCAGACTATAGGGTCAGACTTCATTTTGGCTAAACCTCTTAGCTCTTTATAAAGAGTTTCCTGTGCTCAATGCAAAAAGGCAGACCACATAGAACTGACCAACTTGATGTATATTAATACGCGTATTGCAAACGTAAGGTACACCTTCCGCCGTGATAGCGAAAGACAAAGTTCTGGCTGAGTTTAGTCACCCAACATACTTGGAACAAAAGCTTACAAGAAGAGTTGTGAGATTTTGAGCAAACGCACAAATTTAAATGCGAATTTTTATTGTTTTCGATTTACGCATTTCGCCTTGCCGGTAGAAGATTATTAGAACGCTTGCGTCATTTGCATATTTCTATTCTTTTTCTGCTCAAATAAAACTAGAAATGTCCAGAAGTAAAACTGTCGTGCCATAAAAAGACGTTAATTTACGATTGTAAAACAAAGTGGAATGTAAATATAAAGAAGATTTATCGAATTTACATACACATATGCATGTATCTATTTCTCTTATGACCCGATTAGCCCCGAAATAAACACAAAAGAAAGTAAAAAAGAAGAAAAGAAAACATCAGACTCATCAACTCACCGCATTAAACGGCTTATATATTCATTTCGCAAACGTATCGGCTGGTCCTTGAGGAGGCGACCGAAGAGCGAGTAAGCTGTCAACATGCCACTGAAGAGTAGGAAGGGATCCGTGTAGAGCGAGGCGGCGCGTCCAATCACTGTCCAAGGGCGACCCAAGCTCTGTTGAAAGAATTTTCATAAATTTATTTAATACTTTTTCCGAAGTCTCTGACAATCCCTCTGCGTACCTCTGACATTTCCGTTCTATTATTGTATGCATTGAAGAACATCGCCATGGATTTGTGTGAGAAGAGCAACATGACTGCATTCAAAAACCGTATGCCATGCACAGCTTCAATATCGTTGGGCGAGGAGCTAGTGCTAAAGAGCCAACGCAGATTTTTATCCAAAGAGAATGCAGTGAGCCACTCATCTGAAAAAAAGTTTTATTTCATAAAAGCATTAACCTTTAAGAAATGAAAATTCTTGTCATTACTTGGCTTCTGCGTCTCTTTGGTGCAACGTTCGTAGACTGTTGAAAGCACAGCGATGGAGAGTATAATGAGGAAGAAGCGTCTAAAAGACGTAAAAAATGTATGAAATAGTACAGTTAATATAGTTCAGCTAAAGTTCGACTTACACTGCCCACGTGGTATTGCGATCCCACGGTTTGTTATCACGCACCTGACACAACTTCGGTTCAACTCGTACCTGGAATAAGATGCCTGTCGAACTGGTCATATTCCTCAAATACTCTTTCACCGTATACTCGACATCTTGATGGCTGCAGGCGTCCGGTACACAAATACCCCAATTGATGAGTGAGTAGCGTGGCACACGATGTCCGGGCTGTAAAAGAGAGGAAGTTTAATGAAGATTGTTCGGAAATGAGTTGATAATTTTGTACAATTAGAATAAAATAAATGGAGAATGGAGGATGTGTTAGTATTACATCATCTTTGGCGTTGAGTCCTTTGTTAGCCGAATGGTTATCAAGAAGTACTATTATTTATCCAGAAGGCCAGAGTTCGCAGCCTTGTCCGACCAAAATCTAAAATTATAGGAAACGATTTTTTTTATTTGCTGGCACCCCTCGTTAAGAGGTACATACTCCGAATGTATTTCTGACACGAAATTAAGAAAAGGAAACACATCAACCAGCGAACCACTAATTGGAGAAGAAGTTTGCTTTAGCGGTCACAAGGCACCAATTATATATTTAGGGCAGAGGTTTTTGGACTGTCTTATAGCAAATAAATCTAGTTGCATCGGGTCTCCCGACTTATCTACACCTAAATTCGATAATAATATCTTCTCGATAATTGCACGAGAGTACTAAGTATCGTAACCTATCTTACAATTAGTAATGTTCCGAGAATAAAATCTGTACCTTTTTTAAGATGCAATTGTACTCTTCTTCAAATCTGAACCACTGACTTACTGTTAAATTATTTGCCACTTCAAGATAAATGTATCGTATTACAGTCTAGATAAGATGATAGCAACTGCCATCAGCAAGGCCGAAGAACTGGAGACTGTCCAGCATTTCTCTATGCATTATTCATTTGGAACACTTTGCTTGATCGACCCTAAAACCCAAACATGTGCTTGGCAGCAAGCTCCTAAGAATAAGTTTAACGGTTTCTCTACTTTGTATACGATGCTTCAGTCTCGAACCCGCTTGTCTGTCTCTTTATACCTTTTTAGACATATGTATATGGCTGGTGTCTCTCTTGTTCCTACTCGCCTAATTTTGATTGTAAGCAACCTCTATAAAAGTAAATACAGATTTTTGGGCTTTCTTCTTCGTTAGTAATGGAACACATTCCATCCTCCTCCATATTGAAGATACAGTCTTCGTCGTCGGCAATACTTTCGAAACCACTTTCGAGGTGGGTTGATACCAGTGCTTCCCCATATGTCATTTATATATTATACTCATTGACCGGTTATCGATATAACATAAGAGCATCGCAACCCTGGCTAAAATTAATGACTTAGGGCGTCGTTTTTTTCCGCATTCCGTTCCGTTTTCGCCCGATTTGGCTCCCTTGGACTATTATCTCTCACCTCAGAAGATGGCTCATCAATCATCGACGCCGCCGAGGAGTATTTTGCAGACCTTCTGGAAAATTACTTTTCGGACGGGATCAAAAAGTTGGAAAATCGCTGGAATAAGTGCATAGAGCTAAAAGGGATTACAATGAATAAAATAAAAAAGCAGTTAAACAAAAATGTTTTTCATTGCCAATGAGGTTACTTTTCACCCCACCTAGTATACTCGAATAGTATGAGTATTCAATTCTGGAGTTGTCACTCTTCTACAAAAGATCCAAGTCCTAAAGATATCGATTTGCTAAAGCACTTTTAAGCTTAGATGTACGTTAAGTTAGGTTAAACTAGTTACTGGGCCTCAGCTCACTTAGGCCATTAGTAAAACCGATGTTTGTTAGCGCATCATATTTCGTACAAATCTCTTTAGACTTGATCCTTCTACTTCTTCAATATTACCGCGCCATTCGTTTCTTCTTTTCGCTGTCTGACGCCAGTTGGAAATACCAAGTGAAGCCAGGTCACTCTCCACCTGATCCTTCCAACGAAATGTAGGTCTTCCTCTGCTTCCACCAGCAGGTACTGCATGGAATACTCTCGAAGCCTGAGTGCTTTAATCCATTCGAACGACAAGACCTAGCCAGCTTAGCCGCTGTTGTTAATGAGCAAAGGACTATAAATCGTTCCTAAAATTTTTCTATCGAAAACTTCCAGGGCCGACTCATCAGATGTTGACATCATCCACATCTCTGCACCATATAGTCGGACGGGTATGATGAGCGACCTGTAGAGTTTGGTTTTCGTTCGCCGAGAGAGGACTTCACTTTTCAATTGCCTACTTAGTCCAAAGTAGCACCTGTTGGCAAGAGTGATTCTGCGTTCGATTTTAAGGCTGGCATTATTGTTGTTGTTGATGCTGGATCTTAGATAAACGAAATTATCTAGGACTTCAAAGTTTTGACTGTCAAAAGTGAAGTGAGAGCCGAGTCGCGAGAGCTATGACTATTTGTCTTGCCTCATTCAGTTCCAGACCCATTCGCTTCGCTTCTTTATCAAGTCCGGAGAGAGCAGAACTCACGGCGCGGTTGTTAAGGCCAATAACGTCGATGTCATCGGCATACGCCAGCAGCTGTATATTCTTATAGAAGATTGTACCTTCTCTATTCTGCAGCAATAAGTTAAAAAAGTCACACGATGAAGAATACTCTGAAGTCCTTCTGCAAAATGGCAGTTTATACAACTGTATGAGGTTGGAGGGATACCAAATTCAGACAAAGCGTCGAAAAGGCAGCCCCTTTTCATGCTGTCGAAGGCTGCTTTTAAATCTATGAAAAGGTGGTGTGTGTCGATCGTCTTTTTAGGGGTCTTTTCCAAGATTAGGCGCATGGTGAATATCTGGTCAATGTTTGACGATGTCTGAAGCTACACTGACAAGGTCCAATCAGTTTGTTGACGGTGGGCTTTAGTCTTTTACACAATACGCTTGATTGGACCTTATAGGCGATGGCAAGGAGGTTTATCTCACGATAATTGGCGCAGATTGTGGGATCGCCTCAATGTGGATTGGGCAGAGCACACTTAGCTTCCAATCGTCGTGCATCCGACCATATTCTGCAATCGCTATTCGGACTTTTTCATAGTCGGGTAATGGAACAACTTTTCCATCATCATCGTATTCACCTTCTCGGAATGTTTATTTTCACTGCCATTCAGCAGGATGGAGAAGTGTTCGATTCATAGATTCAGTATACTCTGGGTATCCGTTACGGTACCTTCTCAACTAAGGGACTGGACATTCGAGCTGCATACCCCAAAATCGTAATCCTTAAAACATTTGCGGGGCTCGTCATCAATAGAGGATTCTCTCATCTCATAATTTAGTATCTGGCATCTTCCAAGTGAATGACAGTCAAAAACTTCTACACGTGGTTCCATTCCCTGAGAATTAAACCTACTCCACCAAAATACGAAAAATCCGCAAAGGTAGTGCCCCGAGATTTCACATTGATCCTGAAATTCACAACTTCTGCCGAAGTCAACCAGCTTTTCTACGTGCCTGCGTAATGAATAGAAGAAGCCACGTAAGAAGACAAAACATTGCAGATATTTTCTTTATCTTTGGTGAGATAAGTTCTAACAATAAGGACTAATGATCTTTACGATATTGCAACAATAGCGACTTTTCTATCTAAAGTTAGAATCTGTGACAAATAACTATCTTAAAGTGAACGAGTTACATGTGAAAAGCTCTTCTCTGAAGGCGAAAGTTTAGGGCAAGTTACAGGGCTCTGGCATCCACATTAGGTTCAGACTGAGAGCTTCCTCATATTCAGGATAATTGACAGCCTCGGGTATGGCAGGCGGTTTCGCTAGAAGAATGCTGCATTGACTGGTGGGGCTAAAGACACAGTTATCTAATCTCTATAAAACCTACGTATCCACATCTGTATTAATCAAATTGTAGTTATTCGTGAAGGTAGTACGAGTTATTCCGTAGCTGTCATTTCTGACCGACGAGCTTTTCTTAAAATATTATATTACCGTTGTTTGACTGCTTACATTTGGGCACATCAGAAGACAACAAAAAATTGAATTTGTATAATTTGCCTTTCTCTTATTTCTTACAAAATTAACGAGGTCTTAATATGAAGGGCAATGAACTCTTGATTTTGCGAATATTAAAAAAAAAATACTAATTAAAATATTGACTTTGCTTAACTAAAAATGAATATTAAAAAAAAAATATAACAAAAACTTCATTTAATTTGCATGACAGCCAACGAAGCAAGCACAAAGTGGAGGCAAGAAAGATAGAAAGAAAAAAATTAAATGCTAATTAACAGCAAACAAACAAAAAATGCATCAACTAAATGCTATACATATAAAGGCTAACTTATTTGGCAGAAAAGAAGTATTTATGTATATTTGTATATGTATATTTTTGGAAAACTGAGTTGAAGTTCAAGTTCAATGCGTGCCGTGCTCTGCCGTGCATTGAGCTCTGCATGCATATATATTTATTAACATAATTCATCATTATGAAATTTGCATGATTCGCAGCTGAAAATGAATGAATGAGCAAATAACTGTACATACAAAACTACCCATCGATCAACAATTTTTTTATGATCATAAATCTCAGTAGGGACTTTGCTTATGGCAGCTCAGCATAGTAGTGGAATACATTAATTGCTGCAGGCCTCAATAAGGAAAGACAGAAACAATTCTGATAACTAAAAACATTATCAAAAACCTTGTCCGTATAGGTGAGGCGAAAATTTTCAAATTTATCTGTGATTCACAGCAATCGTTTTAGCTTTTCCTGTGTGTGCCTTCCGTTTCTTGGGGTATTCGCCGTGAGTATTTGAAATATTCATCCGTCCATATCAAGTAATTTTAATATTTAAAGGACTATAGTGTCGAGCCTAGTGGGATTGATTCAGTGAGGATTGTTATTTTTTTATGTTTCCTAATTATATATTATAAATATGCTTTAAAATGGGCATATGTGGGTGAAGTAGCCTCAGCCACGACTTATTTCTATTTGTTCTTGAATTAATTTGAAACAGATGCGACCGACTGGTCAGATGTATGCGCCCTACTCCTTCCAGGAAAGATTGGGCAGATGGCAATGCTTTCAGTAATTGTAAAGAAATTCATATATATTGTACTAAATATGTACTAGATGGGGGAGCAGGCACAAAAAAAGATAGCTGAAAACTCAATGACCTAAACTCTACCTTACAAACATAGATTGGGCTTTACTGAAGAAAATTTATGAGGTTTTTTGTTGAAACCCGAGCTAAATCCTGCTCGGTTGATAAAATGAAGAAACGAAAAGACATGCGAACTGTCGCTGTTGACAGTCTTGGATCTTTCAGTTCCATCAAATTTTGCTTACAAACAGTGAGCCCCAAAGAAACATTAAGGTCCTAAAGCATTTCCAACGAAGGATCTATCACTAAACTACTATAAGGCAGCGGGAAATGCAGATATACTAATCTGTTAATACCACAAAACGGGGTTAAGTCGCCGAAAGGGTGGCAGCCCGGCTGTCTTAAAAGTCGTTACCGCGTGAACTGTCATAACCTAGGTCTGGATACTGTACTCCTACTATTCATACATACCCAACGTATGCCCTGCATGTGGAGAGACACCGACACGACATTAACCACCTCTTCACATGCTCACTTCAGCTTACACATCTATCTCCCCTCTTCCTCTGGTCCAATCCCGTCGAAACAGAACGTCTCCTGGACCTCCCATTAGATGACCTTGGTGACTGAGATTGATTAACCTGTCCCTAAGCGGGGTTGATTTAGCCGCTACAATAACAACTACCTTTGTGAGTGCTCGGCTTTCAGCCGGTTGAGGCCTTCTACAATGCTGCAAAGCTTAGTCTAATGGATATGGGCAAGTATGAATGCATTGAGCATGTTTTTGCTATTCGAAATATTTGTAATCCAGGTTCAATTACACCAGTTTGATGCACCATTAAAGTAACATAATATTTTTGCTATAACAATTAATTTCAGCTCCTCGATGAAACTACATACTCATGGGCAACCATTGTCCAAGAGTTCTGCATAGAGTATGTGAAAGAGCTGGCCTCTGAAAGAGCTTCGCAGTTAAGGTATCGGCAGCCAAACCTTTGATGCATGTTTTTCGTGTGGCCAGTGTCCATTATTGCCGCAAGTCTATATAAAGTTTTTCCAGACTCACTTATTTTGTTGTTACTCGTTCTTACATGGGCGAAATCTTCATATTTATCAACAGATGCTACCAACTTGGACAACTCACCCGCTTCTTCGTTGGCAAAAGCGTTCCTATGGAAGTGAAATAAGATTACTGCAATCGTTGACAACGCCGAAATTTACCATTGGCGACTTTGAGGTCAATATGGTCGAAAACTTTGGACATACTACTACCTCTGCATATTCCTGCATATCCATTAGTTGTTGGCCAACAGGTAAAACCATATTTACAGATCCACGAAACACCTAGAGTCTTACTTCTTCACTTCGTTCTAAGAAACCTGTCGGCCTGTTCATACAAGAGGGTTTCTTCTGCAAGTTACATCTAATTAAGTGTGACTGATGAGCCATTAGAAGGACGTCTTTAGCTATTTAGTTCATCGGATCTCCACTAGTGTTGTAAACGCCTTGTTACATACTAATGTATGAAAGCAAAGCTTTAAAAGCTTTATTATTTATATAAATATGTATCTACTTTTAGTTATATATATAATTGACGCTTCCTGCAAATGGAGGAGCCTACAGTTTATTTTAAGCCACTACCGAACGGCTGATGAATTTTTACGAGCAGCTTTCTATATTACATGTCAGAAATACAGTCGGAGGTGCGAAGGCGATCGCGATTGGAAAAATTAATTTCTAAAATTAAATTAATTAACTTAATTTTTCAAGCAAAGTGATTTATTATCTATATTTATGAAAGTTGCTCTGGTTAGGATTCTAGTCCATGACCCTCTCTATGCAACAACGTACTATTAACCATTAATTATTGCTGTATAATTATTTCATACAGTCTCCGTGCATATGAATTTCGGACATTTCGAATTTTTCACACAAACTTTTTGCATTCCACGTCTTCTCCCCAGCTTTCGCTGAAGTGCACAAAATCTACAAATTAATTTCAAAATCAAATGTAAATGCCATACCTTGTTTCCGGTGGAGCGTTAATAAAAAATGCAAAAATATTTATAGGCGTGTGTAATTACGTAAATAAGGTACACAAATACAAGGGGAATTTTTCATTCATTCATTCATACAAACTTTTTTTTCGCCAACAATTTTTCACACAAGCTTTTAATTTGCCAATTTGTAAGCTATAAAGGCGGTTGTAACTCAGGCTTTATGGTAATTAAATAATGTTTATTGTTGCACTAAAGGCAATTACATGGAAATGCACAATAAAATGAAATGAAAACAAAAGTAGAGATGCAAGCAATGAACGATTAATAAACCATTTATTCAAATTTAAATACTCATACCTAAGCCTGAGCTGCACGTGAGAATAATAATGCTATATATAGAGTTTGAAAGGAGATTAGCGAATAATCGATATGAGGATAATTACTACAAAATACCCTTAATTACGTAAAAAATAATATAAACCAAACAAAAGACTCAAGTAACAAACTCACAACTGGAGCGCGCTTATGCCACGCACACACACTTATGTGCGTAAACAAACGATTTTTTCTATGAATTATATGAATTAATAATGATAAACGCAATCAATTGAATTGATAATTGAGCGGGAAATGCACTTACATCATTGAATTCACTCTTGAATGGTCCATGCGATTGCATCAGTTTGAACAACGCTCGTAAACGTTTCGATTTATGTGGTAACACTGGCTGTGCGTAAGCCAAACAATACTGCCCCTTAATCTCGCCATGTGCATCGCTACCTGCCATTGCTGCTGCATCGTCAGCGGAGGTGCTGCTGACACCGAGACACTGGTCGAAATCGCCCGGTTGATTAATGTTGCCATTGAGTATGCCCGAAGTGATTTTGCCGGTGGAGTCGTGCACTGTAAGTTAATAAGCAAAAAGTGCAAACTTTAGTATTAAAATATTAGATAACGTAATTATACAAATAAGATTAAAAGAAAACTAAAATAATTAAGCACAAAAGAGTTTGGATGTTATAACAATTAAACGTTTAATAGCTCGACTTATAGATGTGTGTCGAATTTGCATGCAAACTGAGTGTAATTCAAATAATTTTTCAAATAGAAAACTATTTTCCAGTTCCTAACATGGATATGCACCTCCAAATTAATAAAGCCATTTAAATATTGAAAATGTTGAACGGCTATTGGTAGTGAATGGGGAATGTGACTGAGTCCTGGCTAACTTAATTTATTTATTTTCCAGCAAGAATATAATTAATAAAGAATTTGTTGAATTTGAAATGTTTAATTTTTTTCAATTTTATAAAAAAAGGGTGTTTTTATTTAAGTGGTTTTCAAGAAGAAATGAAACTCTTGAATGCTATTTTGTGGAAAAGAATTTAGCACTATTTTAAAGATAGTTCCTTGTCATTTAGTTTAGAAAATTATTTCGTGTTAGTGATCTCGTCAATCGTCTCGAGCTTATCTGCGTAGGCCGGCATTTTCACATAAAACCACAAAAAATAATCAGCGATGCACGATTTTGGAGGTCACGCCACAGACCATCAACGCGAGATAATGTGCTCACCAAAAGTTTCCTTCAATAAATTAATGGTTTCGTTGGCATATGGCAATCCGCGCCGTTTTGTAGTAACCCAAGGACGTCCTTATTAACATCATTCAATTCGGCTGGTTTCATTTTTTGAAGAAAAGTCTTTGATTCACTTTTCCTATAGAACACATCAAACAGTGACTTCAGCCAACGTCTCGACAATGGTTTGTGGATTATCATCACACCAAAGGCGACCATTTTATATATTCAATTCAATTAATTTAACCAAAAAGGAGCTTCATTGCTGAAAATAAATTTCTTGGGATCGGTAGCCAACTCGTTCTGGGTCCAACACAAGTTAGATTTTGTAAGCCCCAAAACCAAAATGTTTCCACACAATCTTCTACAAAGTGGGGGAACATAGCTCAAATTATTGTGCGCGATGACGGATGTACTCTTTCGGCTCTTATTCCATTCTCTGCTCCACAGCAGCAATAACGTCTGCGATGCCCTCTGTACGGCATCTCCGAGAATGCGAATCATTCACTGAAGTAAATGTAATGCGAAATCGATCCAAAAATGCCCGAATCAATAACTTTGCTGGGCAATAATGCCGAATGAATATTGGAACCGAACCTTTTTGGGTAATAAATTTGCAGGATTTGCAAAAGTTGCTTCGGAGTAAGTCTATTCATTATGAAGTGGCAAAGCTAACTGAATATAAATCAAATAACAGCTGTCAAAGAGATCATGCTTGAAAAAAGTATTGTCTTCTTGAAAACTACAAGTCGGCAAAAATACCTTTATACCGCTGAAGCGATTATCGGTCAAGCTCGTCCTCTAATTATAATTATCCAGAAATTTTGAAGGGACAGCTGCTCGTATTGATTAATAAGAAAAAAACCCTGAAAGCTCTTTAGAAACTCTGATGTCCCAGAGCTACGCAAGAAAAAAGAAAACTACTGATGCTGGTGGCTACTAACATTATAGATGTATGGACGGACATATTCAAGAGAGATCACCGCCACAAGTTAAAGACCAAAGTATATCATATGGCTGTAAACGATAAGCGGAAGCGTTTAGAGAGGAGCCTTGGACCACGAAAAGATGAAAAAGATATGTGATGGTATTCGACCAGATGAACTACTATGTCACCCAGATTCTATATGGACACCGTTATTTCCAGAAATATTAAAAAAATGAACAAATCCACCATTCTACATATACAAGATGGGCAATAATTCCCGAAAGGATTTTTTTGTGGATTAAAAGTGGCCCAAACGTTACAATAAGAAAAAAGCTTTATTTATTTTATTATTTTATTTTCTTCAATTTAACTTCATTTATTTTAATTATTTTGTTTAAATTTATTTTACAAACATACATTTTCTTGAGGAGATTATAAAATGCATTTTTAAATTAGGTTTCTTCATTAAACTCTTTCTTATTTTGTTATAAAATTCAACTCAAATGAAGTCAAGCATAAAATTAAATTCCAATTACTACAAAACCCCTTTAAATTGTTATGAAAACGTACTGAAAATAAATTTGCATGACTCTAAAATGCCACACTTGCTAATTCCACTGTCCGACAATTTGCGTAAATAATTAAAAATTTAACATTCAACCCTTACTTATATACTTTAATAACATTTCAACTAGTCACACAACCGCAATTGAATATAAAATGTAAGCCATCACATCGCCTGACAAAATGCCTGACGCCTAGAACTTTAGCATTCACCATTTGCTTTAACCTTGGTAGTGATTTTTTTTTAATAAATTGCAAAATGTGCAAAAATTGCATGAGCGTGTGCAATGCCCATTCGCAATGAAACTAGTTACTTTAGATGTTAAACATCATACAATTAAAAAATAATAATTAAAGTATATCTTTCAAAAAGATTTATAAAATATGCTTGCTATTGGAAAACAAATGCTAAACTTAAACTCATATAAAAAAAAATTAAATGAATTAAAATAAATAAAAAATAAAATAAAATTAAATTAAATTAAATTAAATAAAAAAATAATTAAAAAAAATAATATCATAAAATAAAATAATATAAGCAAAAAAAAGACAAATTAAAATTCAAACAACTAAAATAAAATAAATTAATATAAAGTAAAATAAAAAAAATTATAATTCATACAAATAAAATAAAATAAATTAATATAAGGTAAAATAAAAAAAATTAAAATTCATACAACTAAAATAAAATAAAATAAAATAAAATAAATTAATATGAAGTAAAATAAAAAAAATTAAAATTCATACAACTAAAATAAAATAAAATAAAATAAATTAATATGAAGTAAAATAAAAAAATAAATTAATATGAAGTAAAATAAAAAAAATTAAAATTCATACAACTAAAATAAAATAAAATAAAATAAATTAATATGAAGTAAAATAAAAAGAATTAAAATTCATACAACTAAAATAAAATAAATTAATATAAAGTAAAATAAAAAAAATTGAAATTCATACAACTAAAATAAAATAAATTAAAATAAATTAATATGAAGTAAAATAAAAAAAATTCAAATTCATACAACTAAAATAAAATAAATTAATATAAAGTAAAATAAAAAAAAATTAAAATTCATACAACTAAAATAAAATAAGATAATTGGTACAATATATAATAAAATAAACTGAAGGAATAAACTAAACTATTTTATTAAAAAATAAAAACAAAGAAATTAAATTGTATTATATAAAATGAATTTAAAAAAAATAATATAATAAAATAAACTAGATTCAAATAAAATAAAATTAAATTAAATTAATAAGCTTTCTGACTCGAACCTGAACTTGTGGCTTTCCAACTTGTCGGAGTTCAAATCTATAATATTATTTATGGATTCAAAGCCTAATGATTTGGGTTTTAAAAAAATAATTTCACAAAGTGTGTTGTTGGGTGGGACTGCATACAATGCACCGCCTCTTGACAAATAGCGTTCCATGCAGCCACGTGATGATCACCAGCCGAAGGCCGTACGCATGCTTGAGCTCAGTAGGTGATTAAAATTTGTTATTGTAGTATATGCACACATCCATTCATATGCACTTTACAATCATATACATAAATATCTTTTAATTTTTTTACTCCCAAGTGCAACAAGTCATTTGTTCTTGCTGCAGACATGGCCATAAAGCCGGTGTACATAAAGCCGGTCAGAAGCATACAATTCTAAGCGTCTTTAAGTTGCGCTGAATGAAGCTGCGACGTCAGCGCTATTGCTTTGTAAGCAGAGAGGCTGTAGTTCTCTTTCTGCTTCGTTGTAGCAACATAGAAGTTATTGCAGTTATTGCGCCTCCGTCGATTTAAACCGCAGACTTGGTATATAAATATGTAAGCAAATGTGTATTTAAGACTTTGGTTATGGTCAATGTTACAACGCTATACCTAGCCTAGCTTCGGGGTCTCGGTCGCAGTCAATTTTCAATTTTTTTTTCAATATAATATTTGATTTTGATTATAGCTTTTAGCCAAGGTAGGTGCAATGTTTTTGCTTGTTTTTTTTTTTTGCAGTTTGTTGCAGCTGCTGTTTTGGTAACAGTAGTAAATGGCTGTGGCACTGACTGAGACTGAGGCTGCAATTCTAAATGCACTTGAGATTTGTGCTTAGGCAATTTGTGCTTAGGTTATTGTAGTGTGGTGTTGTGGCTGCGCGCCGTCAAAACTGGGTAAAGTTCGCTGAGAGACCTTCAAATTTTGATTGCAGCATTTGTAAGGTATTATACATACACGTATATAGGTGCATACATATACTCGTATTGTTGGAAACTTGAAATGCAATGAAATGTTGCATGGCATCACGATGTTTGGTTTATATTATGAGCGAATAAAGTAATTATGTTTGATGTCATGTTAGAGCTAGGGGCTGTGACTATGTTGGCGATGGGTTAAAAAATATTTGTATATCGAACGGTTTTGGAGCTATTTAATACTGATATCAACCTTTCAAATTCGCACGTAAGTAAGGTTTGTGTGGAGATCATCGAACGTCCCGCACGAGTCAACAAGTTTTTACTTAACTTTAACTTTATCTTCTTTTTTGTTAAATTTTACATCTTCAGTCATTATAAATAATTGTATGTGTAGCAAAGTTTCATTCTTTCATCGGTTTCTATGATCCAAAACACGGGTTTCCTTCTCTCTGTCTGCATTAAGTTTATGTGCCGTTAAGAACACGATTATTTGGAAAAATTTCACAGTATTTCCATTACATAAATAATTATTGGTTGAGTGTATAAGTTCGTGCCCGATTCCGCTGGATGCCGTTCGTATCGTTTGAGAGACGGATCAAAAACGAACCTTTTTGGATCGGCTCGTGACTGGTGATGAAAAATGGATCCTGTACAACAATGTTCAACGCAAGAGAACATGGAAACAGGCACACGAAGGGGCGGAACCGATGTCGAAAGGTGGATTGCATCCGATGAAGGTACTGCTGTGCATTTGGTGGGATATCCGAGGCGTGATCTATTTTGAGTTCTTGCCAGCTGGAGAAACGATCACTGCCAACAAGTATTGTCAGCAATTGGTCGAATTGAAGAAAGCAATTAATGAAAGACATCTGATTTTGGCCAATCGCAAGGGAGTTCTTTTCCATCATGACAACGATTTGGCCTGATGTTGCAAAACTGACCCTGGCCAAACTGAAGGAGATGAATTGGGAAATCATGCCGCATCCCCCATATTCACCCGACATTGCACCTTCTGATTATCATTTGTTTCGATCGCTGCAGAACAATTTGAATGGAAAAAAATTTAAAAATGTGGAAGACGTCAAAAACCACCTTGACACCTTTTTCAACGAAAAACCGCGTGATTTCTATTAATCAGACAGCCGTAAATTGGTTGAACGTTGGGAGTGGATTGCCGAACATGATGGCGAATACATAATTGATTAATAAAAGCGCTTTCTTCAAAAAATTTCAATTTTAGCACTTGAAATCGGGCACGAACTTATGCACTCAACCAATAATATACGTAGAATACTAGAATATTATCTGCTCTTTCTACACACTAATGGACAAACTTTTGTATGTCATCGTCAATCGGCTTAAGCTCATATTTTTGCTCTGACGCTTCTTCATCATCTGAAATTTTTACACCATTTTACATTACATGCGTTTTATTTATTGCCCATATATCACAGTATTTATATATAATTTCTTACTATTTTAATTGGTTTACATAAGTGTACGTAGCAATTTTTCTACCCACAAATCGACCTTGAATTGCAACTGTGAACATCAATATTGGCATGTATGTATGTATGTATGCATATATATTGGATTTACTGGCAAAATGCCAGTGTTAACTTTATTTACGTTTAGTGTGAATTTTAGTTCTAATCTTCGCATGTAGAATTTAGTTTCGATTTTAATTGCATCTTCTCTTTTCAGTTACCATAAAGAGACAATGTTAGTGTGTATATTTTAAGATATTTATAAGAACTTTATTCGATTTTATTTAAATTTGTTTTTTCCATTATTTTATTTAACTTTTTAAGTTTTGCCAGGTCAGACTTGCTGGTTGTTAGGTCGTACATAGACCGGTCGATACGATAGCATCATATGGTGAAGTAGCCTTCATTTTTTCTGAGATTTAAGAGGATTCTGATATCCAGTATGCCTTAGTCCTCTGAACAGCGAAGATCCTAGTTGTATTAGGTGTGTTCTAGAAAAGGATGGACAGAAAAAACAGGGGCTGCTTTAACGTCTCACTCATGACTGCCACATATGTCACTGTTAGTAATGTCCATTCTGGTCGCGTGTGATGTTAGCATATAGGTTCTCTACGAAGTTTCATATTAGAGAGTGTTTAACTTTATTCTTCCCAATAATGCACCGGAACTTGGCAATCAACGTATATTCTCATATTTTTCATGTTTCCTGTGCTGTTAGCAAGGTCAGCAGCTTTCATTAGACCTCCGCGCTGAAAATACTGCAGTATTTTGGGATCTCCTGTCCACTTATCCATGCAGATGTTGCAAGTCTGCTGGTGGGTGGCACGTTTTTGCACCATCACCAATCTTTGAGTCAGGCCTCAAATCTTTCTTCCCAGATAATGCGTGGAGATATCCTGTTTAAATCTGACTTTTTTCTTCACTGTCGATTGGTGTTAGATTGAGTAATGCAGCCGTGAGTAGTTCTTTGCACTTCTGTTGTTGCATTGTGCAGTGTACCGCGTACATAGAACACCCACGGCAGTTGTTAACGGCATCTCGCTATACTCTTGAATCTTCTTTTAAAAAGTGCGTATACCTTTAATCGGCATTTACTTCTAAGTATTAAAGTATCGCTCATCGTTGTATGACTCTTAGCATTTAGGAACTTTACACTCACTAATACAGCTTTGTGATCTACATAGGCGTTTAACATCGGTGCATTCTATTCAAGATTTTTCAATGGGTCGTTTGCTACAAGTAATTGGACTTCACACCGCCTGAAAAGTCGCTTTACAAGACAGCTAAGTTAGTTTTATTTTACTCCTCCTATATTACTCCACACACTATCCTTTTGCAGCTCAATAGGTTCTACAATACGTGGGCCGCTTCGCTACTTTTGGAGGTGGAACGAGCAAAACGATGACGCACAGGCCTCCCAATATCTTTAAGCGAGCCATTCTCTTTAAAATTCTTCAAAATTTTATCATTTGCTTGATTAGTTCAATGATTATATCCACCATAGTCTCCTTTTAAAAAACGAAACGTGGCAACTATTTCTGTAGTAGATTTTTTAGTTTAAAGCGTTATGCGGCCCTTAAGCGACCCATTACTTAAAAGACTGACGTTTAATTGAAACGAAACATGTTTCTGTCATATGTCAAAATGCAACCCGGTTCTTTTGAAAACACACTAATTATGAATATATCTTATATGTATATTTATTTTATTTTATTTTATTCTATTTGGTAATAAATTAAATTTTATTTAGTCATTTTAGTTTGATTTCTTCATATATACATATTTCATTAATTCTTTGTTTTACTTTACTTTATTTTAATTAAATCTTTTTTATTTGAGATTAGTTTTGTTATTTTCATTTTATTTTAATGTTATCTAGTTGTTTATTTTTATTTTACTTAATTGTATTTTTAAATTTCATTCTAATTAATTTAATTAATTATTTATTTTATTTATTTTATCTATTTTATTTAACTATATTTAATTTTATTTAAATTACATATTTGATTTTTTACTGTATTTTTTGTGGTTGAAACTGCTTCAATGTACTAATACCCTATTACAAAGCAAGATTTATTGCTGCTATGATGCCGTGTGTCAGAGGGCTCGGGTTCAAATCTTGGTGTCGTTCTGACATTCAAAAAGTTGTTGAAAATTAAATAGGCTATATTTTCTAATTGCCCGTCGGCACAGAATGTCAACCCCTCGGAGTGTATTTCTCCTCATAAAAAAACCGTCAGTCGTATAAATTGCAGGTCGCTCCATTTGTAGGAAAAACATCAACACGCAAAACCACATATTGTGGGAGGAGCTCGGCCGAAAATCGTTTCAGCGGTTACAGAGCGCCAGCTATATATCATATAAGTATATATATGCTGTGTAAATAAAAACAAATTTATTTGATTTTATTTAACTTCATTTTATTTTAATTATTTATAATTACATTTTATATTCTTACTTTATATTTTAATTTGCTTTATTTGATTTCAATTTCATTATCCAAAACATTTATTTTAATTTTATATGATTTTACTAAATTACTAAGTTTTAAAATAAGCAATTTTAATTTAATCTTTTCTGTATATAATTGATTGTTTTATTGTCTTGTATTTTATATTATAGTATGTTAATTTTTAATTTGTTTCATTACGTTATATAATTTTTTTATATTTTAATTCATCTGTTATTTTTTAATATTTTTCATTTTACTTCTTTCAACTAATTTTATTTAATTTTTTATATTTTATTTAGTGTAATATTAGCAATTTTATTTCATTTTATTTTATTTCATTTTATTTTATTTTATTTTATTTTTTAGTTTTATTTTATTCAATTTAATTTTAATTAATTAATACATAATTGTTGTTGCGGCCATACTATTCTTTTTTTTTGTTTATATGTCAGGGTCCGTTGGCTCGATTCCTGCCATAAGAAGCCTGATGAGGAGATGTGATGACCTCCGAAACATCTGTCATTTCGACCATTTTTCAATTCATATAAAAAACCAGGCCTTCAGCTTACTAAAAACTTTTAACAAAAAATTAACTATTTTATTTTAACTAATTTTACTTTTAAACCTATTTTTTTATCTATATTTTTAATTTATTTTCGATGTAATTATGTAAGTGAATATTTTATAAGATTCCACTTACTTTTCAAAGCCCATAAATCAAAGTTGTTTAAGCCTTCTAGAAAACGTCGCATTTGCGCACGACACTTTGGAGAGGCCTCCGGACTGCGAGCTGCATCAAAAGGTGTTGCTATTGATATAAAACGACGGCCAATGTTGTACAAGTAAACTGCAAAGAAAAAACCAAAAACCAAAATAATAGAAATGGCGTTTATACAGAATTAAGTCATTAAAAAGCAGAACAAAAGAGTCAAGTCTCTAGATAAGTTAATAATATTATTTCTGTAATAAAAGTACATACATGTATGTGTATGTGATCAATATTAGAAATACTAACAAAAACTAATTAATTTTTTTACCGATTGCCGATAAAAAAATATTATGTAGTTCTCTTCCTTACTATAACACTAATGTAAGAATTGGGTAAATCAAAATATTGTATAAGAATATGTATACATATATAATATTAATTTATTTACATCCATTTATGCCGAAAAAGGGACAAGTGAATTGTATACAGAAATAGAAATAGTAAGCTATACGAATACGTATGCCGATCCATATAAATATGTGGAAAAATATTGAAATCTCTAAAAGGGTATACTCGTATGTAGTTGATAATTCAGAGTGGGTACTGCAGTCGTCATTAGCATCAGGAAATAAGTCAACACGTCTGTCGATACGTCAAAGCAGAAGAGACAACAGAATGCGCGCAATGTGCTATGTCTATGAGAAAAATATATTGACTTATTAATTAGGTAAACAACAATATCCTCAAGGATTATTTGTTTGTAAAAATACATACGCTAATAAAGAAGCTCAAAAACTATGGCAAAAAGATGTGAAAACACATATCAGTCTAATTTGTAAACAAAATGTAGGTGGTCAACCCTTAAATTTATCTAGAAGAAGATGAAAATTACTTATATTAGTTAAAACTAGAAGAAGATGAAAATTACTTATATTAGTTACTTATATTAGTTAAAACTACTTTATTTCTTGAATAATTCTAAAAAAATCAGAATTTACGACGTACTCTATTCTTTTTTTTTACTTTTTTTTTTAGTAATTTACCATTACTATTGAGCATATATTAAATTATGGAGCGTTACTTAAACTTAATATCGAAATTTCTTAAAAACAACATCCCTCCAAGTCTCTATTCTCTATACGATAGTACTCGTTTATTCGTTATGAACAAATATTTAAAATAATTTTATACTCGTATTTCAAAAACAACGTCGGGGTTTTCGCAAAACTGCGCTAGTAATTTTAAAATTCCACTAGTGTGTCCCAAGCGTTTGATAATTATGTTAATATATTTAGCTCTCATATTTGTGAATAGAATTAAGAATTCATTGCACGAATTTTTGCGCAATGAAATCGTCGCGATCGAACGCCAAGAAGAGCGGAGGGCACATTTTTCGCCGACAGTAGCAGAACAAAGTGTGCAAATGAGCAGCGGATGAGTGAATGACGAACAAATATACTTACACGTAAGTACATACATTGTGTTTATAGCCAATATTTATTTATATATAGAAGCATTAAATCGTATATAGTGGAAATGTAAATTTATACATACATATATGTATGGAGATTTAGGTTGGCAGTATATAATGAATTGAGTATAACGTACGATCAAATGAATGAATAAAATTAAATATGAAATGACGAAATTGTTTTTTTTTTTTTTTGGACACAAAACGTTAAGCAGAACAGTTGAAGATACACGTGTGTTCAACGTAAAAAATGATCATAAATTAATTTTATAAATAAAATAAAGATAAAAATATTAGCCTAGATTTCGAGGTTTTTCTAGGAATTTCATTCGGTTTCTACTAAGGTAGTGCCAGAAGAAGAAGAATAAGAACAAGAAAAAGAGGAGTAAAAAATGTCAACTAAGTCTATTTCCACCGCTCTTAAGACGTAATACTTGGAACTAGATTTCAGTTTACTTTACATACACTGCAAAGCCCATAGGGGAATGAAGGTGATAAGACAGATGGTCTCCGGTTCGTGGTAGACTTGAGGATTTAGTGAAATACGAAAAATACGGTAAGCAGATTCCTTTGCTACCCATTTTTCCAATGAATCAGTGGACAGAGGAGCATCTGATTTCCCTAGTGATTAGTGGGTTGGTAATTTTCAGAGCGGAAGTGTTATCGTTGAACGCTATGTCGTAGTTTCTGTCTCTTAAATTGCTGTACTATGGGCGAATGCTCAAAAGACTACACATCATCTGCTTCAGCTTTCTTTAGAAACCTTCAGGAATGGACTTCTTTCATGTCGTCATCGTTCTGATGGGGTACAGCTCTTTCGGTGACACTAAGTTTAGAGAAACAGCTCCTTTTCTTGCTATCGTAGGTGACTTTAACATCTATGAAGAGTTGGGGTGAGTCGATTGTTTCCTCATGGGTCGTTCTCAGAGCTCGAGATATGGTTAATGCCAGGCTTATGATCTTATCATAATTTCTATTCTCTACTGAAAAAAGCACATATCCACACCAAGTCAGTTCTTCGCCACTATATTTCAAAAACTCAGCCGCCATGCCATTGGCTCCCGCCGCTTTGTTATTATTCAAAGGAGCAACCGCTTTTGAACTTGAATTGTATATATGTACATATGGAGTATATTAATAAACAGAAAAGTTTACTACCAATATCCGCCTTCGATATCAAGTAAATAATACCAGCTAAAGTTGTTAATTAAATTAAATTAAATTTTATAGATTATCTTCGCACACATTAAAAACTATTTGTTAATGTGCAGTTAATGCGCACTTTTTAATTAAATAAAATCATTAGTTTAAGTTTTTTATAAGTAATGCTCCCCGAAACTCAAAGTATAAACACAAGAGATGAGCATTAAAGATTTGGGCGAGTGAAATGTTTAAACATGTATATAATTAATTAACATTTAACAATTCCAGTTATCAATCTCTGGTGATTCGTCATCTCATTTGACGACTTCATACTTTGCTTTGGGTTCGTCCACAAGTGAATCAATAATTTTATTATGCGCATTTATTGTTATAAGTTGCAACATCTCCCACACTACTTTGACCACCTTTTGACGGTACTTTTTGCGCAAACATGAAAAATTTCTTAAGCACTTAAGCGGCGATCGGTGTTGTCTTATCACTCAATCTTTATTGTTATGATAATTGTGAGGTTTTGATATACAGCGGCTGTTACCGCCGAGAACAAAACCGTCAGAGACAAAAAGGTGATAAATCAACTTGAAAGATGTACACATTTTCACCGTTGTATGTGAATAAAGAATATTTGCTATAGCGAATTTCATAACAAATAAGTGAAAATTCAATTTAAATCTTGATTTTCTAAAGATTTTTATAATTAATTGTATTACAGAGAGATGCATAAATAAATAATACTTTAAAAAAGCAATTTTCAGGCTATAAATATATATGTATGTACATGGTTTATTATGATGATTAAATTTTTTAAATTTTTTAAACTCAATTCATTAAAAACAAACAACTATCATATAAAAATGAAAATTGTATGGTGTAAGAATAAAAATCATAGACATCATTGTTTTTGTTTTCAAAACGGAGTCATCTATTCGTCCAATTGTTCGTGGGACTGAATTAGTATTTTTTAAATACCCCGCTGACTTGGAAGAGAGTTCTGATGAAGAAGGCACAATAACTGAAAACAATGACAAGGCAAGTTTTGAATTAAGAGCTAACAGCAGTTCGAAATTATTTTTCCAAGGCGAGCTAAACGATTTGGAAAACGACTTAAAACTGACGAATTGGTAAGATCAGTGCCCAAGAACTTAAATTTTCCAGGAAAAATGAGAAGTATATTTCTCTCTACTTTGTTCAAGAAGACGAGTTGGTGCGTGGTACCATTATTGAAAGTTTGATGGATACATCTCATAATATCCAGTACGGTGTCGTATTTTCACATATTCTTCAAAAATAAAAAAAAAATCTTGAAGCAGTTTAAATGCTTTCATTTCTTTATGTTTTTACAACAAATGGAGGGAATTTTTATCAATTTTTTTTAAATTTCAATTAAATTTTTTTTTTTTAAATTTGCCTCTATTCTAAATGTCGCACCGTTAGACCATTTTCCGGTCCTGTTTCAGCCAAGTTTGCCTCGTCTGGTTGACACTGAAGATGTCCCTTCGTGAGCCTTCACAATAATAAAGACTTTCGGCTGGAATCAACTGTAGCAATCTAGTAGCTCGAATGACAATTTCCCCCACTCATCTGTGTAAACTTTAATACTTCCGGAAGGAATATATTATTATCTCTTATAAGGGTAAGTTTCTTTCCAGTCTGGGATCAGTATCTTAAAGTTGGAACAAGTATCCAAGATTCGTGAGCGTCCTGATTGATGTCAGCTCCATTATTTCTTCACTTCACTTAACCGCAGGCAGGATGTCAAGGTTTATATTTAGAACTTCAACTGGAGTAGTTCTAAAGGTGCCACTAGTAAATGTTAAGGCTGTTCTTTTAATATTGCCAATATAGCCTTTGTTTGTTTTATTTACCATACCATAGATACAAAAAACCGGCGGTAGATTGTGGACCTAAGCAGCATTTTGTACTTTCTGCTGAAGAGAACAATTTCAACATTAGCAGAGCTAATATAGAGTTCACAAAGGTTGAACCAACGATACCCACTATATATGCTATACTTTAGTAGCAGTAATTGTCACTGTACGCTACGAATAATGGAATCCAGCGGAGTATGCGCAATGGTATTAAATTATTGAAAACTTCATCTATATCCAAGAAAACAAAGAAACAGAAGCTTCTACATGCTGCTAAGTTATATTACAGTTCATTTCATAAACTCCTCACAATGAAACAGTTATGAATCGAATGAAAAATTTTCGTTGGTCAAAATCAATAAGTTTTTTAGAGGTATTCTAAATCTGCCCTAGACGTTTCGAGCGCTCAAGACATAAAGACTTTTTTGTTATTGCAGCTGTCAATCAACAGTTCTCTTTGTAGAACAAAAAAAGAAGTTGCGACATCACAAAATTAACAGTATTTAAATGCTTCTTCGCGGTATCGACGAAATCACTGACTGTGAATGCTATTAAAATGATATAACGGTATATACCTAGATTTATATATATATATATATTGTATATTTATATTGAAAATTCGGAGCATATTGGTCATT